TGCCTTCTCTGAGGATACCCGTTTCTGTGAATAGAAATGGAGGATATAATCCATTATATTGTAGAGACTGCACACTGTGTAGTGTATTTCACTACTGTTAGAAGTGTTGGAATACACTATCAGTTAGCAGTTCACCAGGAACCTTGTAAGACTCAGCCATTAAGCAGTTAATGTTGAATTGATCTGTAATTTATGAGTAGTTATTCTAAGAAAACACAGTTACTAAGCCATTCTCTGTGAGACTCAGTAGTTATTGGGTAACACTTTACATTAGGGGTCGCTAATTAATCATTAAATATATAATAATCAACTATTAGTTTCCCATTATTTAGTTATTAGTTAATACTTCATTAAGCATTAGCTATTACTTAGTAATTGATTAAGCACTTATCAATTAGTAATTAAGTACACTGTTAGTTGATAAGTTAGTTTGTCGTTAGTTTGTGGCTTACTTACTCATTATCTGTGTGCTAATTGCTGCTTATTACATTGTTAATTAACTAATAAGTATTTTTCTTCATATAAAGAGGTAACGTGATAACTTACTAGCACTTATGTGTTAATCCTGCTAATTATCTGTTAATTAACTTTCTATCACCTCCATATATTCAGTTGCTTCACTTTTCTCACTTTGGTTCTTGTTCATTAAAGATGCTTATGGTCACATCTGACCGTAAGATGAGCGCACACAAATTCATGGACGGTTTTGTTATTCATCACATTCATCTTGGCATATCTGTACTCATATCTGGTTTACTCATATTTGTGTGCATGACAGTCCAGTACAAAAGTGGATGTACTTAATTTACGTGCACATTGATATAAACAAGTGCTGCAACTATTTCATGTTCCATTTAAAGACACATTACACTGTGCTTTTGTTTCATACTACTGACTCACAAACACAGCTTCGATCATACACTGCATTAATACAGCGTTTATTTTAGGGAATTAATTACACTAAACAATCACTCTACTATGTTAACAACACTGAGTATTTTGTTTTATTTCATATTTTATTTTTTCCAGTTGTTTTCATTTTAATACTATTAAGTTTGGTCAGCAGGGGAGGAATGCACTCACTGCTGGACATCAAACTCCACCCACGAGCACGGCCATTAGCTTTCATGCCAAACACTGCCGTTTTATTGGCTGGCTACTGAAACATCTGCATGAATTAGTGTGTGCTTCATGTAACTGATATGTAAATGAGGTGCTGGTAGGCTGGTTTCATGCACTGAAGCTGATTTATCATTTATGCTCAAATCTCCACTTGTTTCCACATCGTACAAAATTGTTTTGAATCAGACGCAGAGCAGTTCATACCTTATAAAAGGCTTTTTTTTACGTAACTTTGATGATTAATGGCCATTAGATCTTTACATTTTGACCATTCATTACTTCTTAAATTCCACTTAATCAACCATTCATTGCTTCTTAAATTCCTCATACTTAATCATTAATTACTTCTTAAATTCCTCTTACTTAACCATTAATTACTGCTTTTGTGTCCCTCCAAGTAAAGTGACAACACAAAATCAGTAATTAATGGTTAAGTAAGAGGAATTTAAGAAGTAATTAATGGTCAAAATGTAAAGATCTAATGGCCATGGGCCCTTTTCACAAAGAGTCGTGATTACGTCCGGATTAAGCCTTAGCAGTGAACTATAATGCTCAAATACTGAGCTACAACAGACATATGTTAGTTTTCGTGCACTATCATGACAAAAAGTGAGAACAGGAGGTGAATGGAAGCACTGATTTAACTGTACACACCGCTAAAATGCTGAATGTGTTGTAGCCCTGCTTTCTGCTGCTGCAGCTGCTCACATCAAGCAGTGTCTCTGTAGTTGAACAACATGCCAGCAATTTCTGTAATATTTTTGTTTTCAAAAGAAATTAAAGTTCTTCTATGTAGTATGAATTTGGTAGACGTTGTTTAGCTGTAGCTAGCTAGCAACGCTAGAAGCCATTTCTAACTGTAGCTGTGTTCCCAAAATAAGGAAGCTAGTTAGCTTTCCTTAGCTGCTGCCACCAGCCGGCTAGCGTGGAGCAGGTTCTGTGACACATTTAGCTACATGATGGCAGAGACTTCTGACAAACACAAACAAAAACTTTTATATGTAAAGTCTATTTTACAGACCTCGTTTAAACTGTATTAGCTTATGGTAGGCTAGCAGGCTACAGTCGCTAATTAGCTAGCCTACCATTAGCAGTTTGAGGAGCACCAGCTTCGTATGAGCAGCAGACTTTAAAGCTAAGTTAGCTCTAACGCTGGCTATGTTAGCGATCTGCTAGCATTATTCTTATAGTTTCATGGCAATTTTTGAAGCAGCACTTCAGAAAACATCTACCTTTCACTGCTCAGTCAAAAACGCGACTCCTAGCTGAAAAAAAACATCTGAAAAAGCTGCTTCATGTTAGCCGGGCTAGTTTGGCTAGCAGTAGCTTCTAGCTAGTATAGCTAGCTTAATATAAACAGAGTCTATAACATTCATGCTACATATAAAAGTTCTTCTTTCTTTTGAAAACAGAATATTACCGACATCGTTGGCGTGTTGTACAAAGACACAGAGGCTGCTTGATGTGAAGCAGCTGCAGCAGAACTGCAGTAAAAACAACATACAGCATTTTAGCTCTGTTTACAGGTAAATCAGAGCTTCTGTCCACTTCTTACTCTCGCTGTTTGTCACAACCGTACAGGAAAACTAAAATACAGCTGTTGTAGCTCAGTGTTTGAGCGTTACAGTTCACTACTAAACATTTTGACATCGCGTCTGCAGTAGCTATATGGAGAGGAAGTGAATTTTACCCTGCTAATGCTTAAACCGGAAGTAATCACGAATCTTGTGAAAAGGACCCATTAATCATCAAAGTTACGTAAAAAAGAACACATTTTTTTGGCTTTTATACGGTATGAACTGCTCTGCGTCTGATTCATAACAATTTTATACGATGTGGAAACAAGTGGAGATTTGAGCATAAATGATAAATCAGCTTCAGTGCATGAAACCAGCCTACCAGCACCTCATTTACATATCAGTTACATGAAGCACACCCTAATTCATGCAGATGTTTCAGTAACCAGCCAATAAAACGGCAGTGTTTGTCATGAAAGCTAATGGCCGTGCTCGTGGGTGGAGTTTGATGTCCAGCAGTGAGTGTACTCCTCCCCTGCTGACCAAACTTACTAGTATTAAAATGAAAACAACTGGAAAAAATAAAATGTGAAATAAAACAAAATACTCAGTGTTTTTAACATAGTAGAGTGATTGTTTAGTGTAATTAATTCCCTAAAATAAACGCTGTATTATTATTGCAGTGTATGATCGAAGCTGTGTTTGTGAGTCAGTAGTATGAAACAAAAGCACAGTGTAATGTGTTGTAACGAAGAGTTAACTAATAACTAAATAATGGGAAACTAATAGTTGATTATTATATATTTAATGATTGATTAGCGACCCTTAATGTAAAGTGTTACTAGTTATTGTTTAGTTAATAGTGAACTACCCTAATTATTAGTTCACCATTACCTACTGAGTAATTAACTAGTAGTCCTTGGCAGTTAATAGTAGTTACTTAAGCGTTAATGCAGAACTACTCATTCATTCCTGCTTAGTTCCTGATTAGTTACTTATTACCTATGAAACAGTATTGTAAAGTGTTACCAAATCACTCACTGAGCATTTTAGTAGGGTTGTCAGTCAAAAATTCAGAGTATCAGAGAGACGAGTTCCAGTTGAACATGACACTAGAGTGAAGGTCTATGAAACGTGACACCAGGGAGGAGAGCTGACGTATTTCTCAGGTGAAGGAAAGCTCAGGTGAGGCTGAAATTGTTTCTTCACTATTCAACACCACTTGGTGGTTTGAGAGGATCAATATTATTTTTTGGAAACCATGATGACATTATGATATGAGATATAATACACACGAAAGGACGACACATTCAGTTAAAGAACCTTTTTCTAGGATCTTGTTTGTGGAGGTAAGAGCTTTATATGAATATTTTAGTAACTTTTATAAAGAACAAGGAAAGAGATCAACAGCTAAATCAGCAGCTGCTGCAGTTCACATTAATCTGACTCTCATTAAAGTCACTTTCTTTCTTCTTCACCAGTAAAATTAAAAGTAATTGTCGACTCTGTGTATCTTGTGTCGTCTGCTGAGCTCCTGCCTCTGTGAATGTGTACACAGTAAATGAGTTTAGCTGCTTCTGTATTTTAATTTCCTGCTAATCCATGATGTCCACATTTGTCTGTTTTTAATTACAGCTTTTACTGGCTGTTTCTGTGAGCTTTTCTGAGCTGTTTATTGTACAGAGTTGTTCTTCTTTTAAGTCTGACAGGTTTTGTTAAACCAGAAAAGCAGGATGAGCCGCTCTGAGGAGTGTGAGGAAAACAGTTCCACCTCCAAAAAGCACGCAGAGTAAGGGACTTTTTTCTGTCATGTCAAAATAGGTCTGTGTAATTGTTAATGCAATTCATGCAATATTTTTTGCATTCTATTAAATTTTTTTAAATTAAAATATAAATATCTAATGTAATGTTTTTATTATATTATATTCAGTCTAATCCAGCAGGAGAGATCAGATTCTTCAGCTCCCAGCTGCGTGTCCTTTAAGAGTGATGAGTCTAAAGATTGTCCACTGTGGTTTAAATATGGAGACCCCTTATCTGGACACAGGTAACAGCCATTAGTTCAGCCTTTAGACTCTCCAGTACTCAGGTCTATCATGGATTCTGTGCAGGGATTTAAACTGCATAGCAGCTACTGCTGTTCTCCAATCAGGACATTCCACTCACATCAGATTCATCACTGAATGTTGTTTTTAAAAACTTTTTCATAAGAGAAACTACAAGGATTTTTTAAAAGGATTATTTAGATGATCAATTGTAATTGTTGATGCAGTGAGATCATGGGATTTTTGTTGCATTGTATGTAATTTTTAAATAAAAATACGAATGGCTAATGTAATGTTTTTATTGTACTATATTCAGTCTAGTCCAGCAGGAGAGATCAGATTCTTCAGCTCCCAGCTGTGTGTCCCTTAAGAGTGATGAGTCTAAAGATTGTCCACTGTGGTTTAAAAATGGAAACCCCTCAACTGGACACAGGTAACAGCTCCTCACAGTTCAGCCCTCAGATTCTCCAGTACTCAGCTCTATCATGGATTCTGTGCAGAGATTTAAAAAAAAAAAGATTATTTAGATGATCAATTGGTAATATTGTTAATAATGTTTGTTACTAATCAGTAAAGTAAAAATGACTGTAGTGTCATTTACAAATGACACTTAAGGCTGATTTTGCAGTAACATGTTAAGCTGTTACAGAAGAAACATTTATGTTGAATTGTAATCTGTTTCTGCAGAAGAGATCAGACAATCAGCTGCATTTACATGAAAGCTAATTGATCTATGAATATGTAATTTGTAAATGAATTTAATTTCCATTGTCTGTTTGTGAGTAACAGGTTAAAATGTGCATTTTTAATGTACCTGTGATCAGATGATTGTATGGGTTGCGGTTATGTTTGCTTTTGGGAGTATAAAGGAAACTATTGCTATTAGTCATTAGCTGGCTGTGATGATTAGCGGACTTAATGAGAAAAGGGAAGCTTCTTGAGTGAGAATGCAAGTATTACCCCAAATTCACTCCAGACACATCAGTATCATGCAAGCAATGTGCAAGTGAAGTGGTTGGTTTTGCATCCAATCCACACTGTCTCCAACTCTGAAATATCAGAACTTTTTTTCTTTCAGAATGAAACAGTTTTTAGCAGATTTAAAGCTTGACAGCACAGAAAGTAGTTCTGTTTATTGCAACAAAATCACAATCAAGCTAGACGATTGCAGAACTTGAGGGCACAATTTAATTGTGCAATAATTCTGTGACTGGTGTGAATGAGACTCCATCATAACTGGAGCTCCACTACTTGGGTGCCAGACCCAAGGGGGTGAGCTGCTCCGCTTCATGTCAGATGAGGCCTTGGAGTGAGAATTCACAAGGTGGTAGGCGCTCACTGCGCTGTCTTCTGCCTGAAATGTTCCACTGAGCAACAGATTCTCCACCTGGAAGACCTAAAAGATGGCCGCTTACATGGATCTCCTGCTCTCCCTGTCCACCTTTGCACTCAGCAAACCTACAGTCTCTGCGCTTTTTTTCACCTGCCATGGAGTGCCATTCTCTACCTCTTTCTGAGCAACATTTGTGCAGTTTATGACTGCAGGCCTGCTCAGAGTGTCATTCACTCCAGTCTTGCTGCTGGACTCTTTCTGAAAAAAATCACTACATAACTAACATTCTTAAGAACATGCTAATTAAGTTTTTAGAGGAAACAAACCCAGAATGTTCAGCACAGTAAAAACACTGTCGTATGCACATATCGAGCAGCCCAGATGCGCTAGCACATGCAATGTGACGGAGAGACTTGTCGAGACACTCAAGCGACTGTCTTCTAAAAGTTGTAGTTCAGAAAAAAAACAATCACTTTTATCTGCCTTGTTAGGATTTTCCCTACAAACTTTACAGAACATCTCAGGTACAGAGAGGACAAAATCGACTCATGAGAACTGAGTTTTGTATGAGGGAATGAAGCTGCGGACTCGCTTTGCTTCATTTCGTGCTTCGCCAACATTTTCCCTTTCTCTGACGTCATTTGTCAACAAATAAAACCTTTGGTTTGTTTTAACTGGACGCACACGTACAAATGGATAAGACCATTTTTGTATGGCGAGGGGTTAAGTATTCAACTGAATTGAGTTTGGCCTCAGTTACGTTATTCTGTTAACACACTGAGGCCCCCACCTGAACATGAACTTGCCCGATCAGGCAAGTGATTGTTCATGCTGCTGTCCAGACATCACGTTTTACTTGCCCCAGGTATTCAGGCAATCGTTATTGTTGAACCCTACACTGCATTCCCTCTGTTAAGCTGGGGCCACGAGTCCACTGCATTCACTTCTTTAGGCTGGGTCCACGAGCCCACTGCATTCACTTTATTAGCTTGGGGCTATGAGCCCACTGCATTCACTCCATTAGCTGGTAGCCACAGACCCACTGCATTCACTCTGTTAGCTTGGGGCCACTAGCTCACTGCATTCACTTTGTTAACTTGGGGCCACAGGCCCAGTGCATTCACTCCTTTAGCTTGGGTTCACGGGCCCACTGCACTCACTCTATTAGCTTGGGGCCACCGGCTTACTGCATTCACTCCTATAGTTTGGGGCCACAGGCCCACTACATTCACTTAGTTAGCTTGGGGCCACGAGCCCACTGCATCCACTCCTTTAGCTTGGGGCCATGGGCCCACTGCATTCACTATGTTAGCTTGGGGCTGCGGGCTCACTGCATTCACTCTGTTAACTTGGGGCCACAGACTCACTGCATTCACTCCTTTAGCTTGGGTCTACGGGCCCACCGCATTCACTCTGTTAGCTTGGGGCCACGACCCCAAACATGCTTTACATTTGCTTGGGCGACAGGCAAATGCATGCATTTTGTTAGCTCAGGCAACAGTTACATGCATGCACTTTATTAGCTTGGGGCCCACACGGTGACTGAAAGATTACCTAGTGTTACGTGGTTGTGTAAAAGTGACTGGGCATGCAAAAGCTCTGAACATGTGTTTGTTATGGCTGAGAGTAGTAAAAGTAACTGGAGCTTGCAGAAGATCGGGATTGTTGTGTTTGTTGGGGCTTTGCGAGAAGTAAAAGAGCTTGCTAAAGATGAGACCGTTGTGATCTGCAACTGTGTTAAACATGCAGAGGCTCTACACTGCCACATGTAGTGTAAGTAACTAAAGTTTGCTTTTAGCTAGAATTTAATGTTGATGCAAAACGTTAACGACCACTAGTAGCCTGCATGAATGAGTTGTTTGAACCCCTGTGAATGAGAACAAGAGAGAAAGTCAGCGATACTATTGGAACATGTTTTATATATGGTCCTAATGATAAAATACAGATTGCCAGGTTAAACCTCCTTAGTAAGGAGATGATTGTGCACCATGAAGACTTTCCTTTATAGACCCTCTGGAATTCAATAACACACAAGCCTTACTTATGATGTTTTTTTGTGTTTCTCTAAAAGTGCAATAGTACAGTGTAGAAATGCGGTTCAAGCATAACCTGAATCCACTGTAAAATATAATGACTGCACATTTAACACCAATACAAACCTAGTAGCACTTACTATCATGTAATGGGACATTCTCATGTTAAGTGTGCAGTTTGGATGCATTTTTGTGTTTTGTAAATCTCCCATGATGGTGTTTTGTGTTCAGATTTACCAGTTCAGCCAAAATGCTAACAAAATGGGAAAAAATGGGTGAAGCTATATTAAACTATATTAGTTTTATTTTAGCCAGTGGTTGCCACACTTTTTACAGTCATATAGACGTGCAGATCACTGAAAATTAGAAGTAATAATAATTTAAAAATGTATTTAAGCTTGAACCTGTTATGTAACTTTAGCTAAATTTTGAAGCGTGATTTTTTTCAAGCAATGAGCGCTAAGTTAAGTTTACGGTGTCTACAGTCTGCCCTTTTGATTACATCTTACACACAACTCTCATCCGGAGTTATGAGCCAGTGAACTCTCTGAGTAATTGGTGAATCCGTTTATCTGTCTACATTGTATGAGAAATAGACCAGTGGACACTAAGATGAGAGTTTAGACTTTTCTGACTGTACTGATATGAAACAACACACCAAAACATGTGAAAAATTAATTTGAATGATCTATATCTTACTTTACCTTACTTCGTTTTAGACAGTATATAGCTCATTCAATATAATTGAAATATTTTTAGAACGCAATTAATTAATTAGTGTGTATATATATATATATATATATATATATATATATATATATATATATATATATATATATATATCTAGAGTAACCCATATATATATATATATATATATATATATATATATATATATATATATATGTATATATAATATTCTTATTGGAAACCAGTGGTTCCCAAACTGTGGTACGCTTACCCCCAGGGGTATGTAGAGTGACACTGGGATTACATCAAAAATTGGTTCACAGTTACACATGTTCTTTCCTGATATGGGCAACACAAACTGCTTCCAGCACATGGCGAACTTGACCTCTCATAGTTCTGTATTTCACTTTTTTAGATTAAAAGATTGTATTACAGCAGAAAGTGTTTGTGGGACGCTCTGCTGTGTGTGTGATTGAAGTGAGTATCCTTTACTAACTGACGTTAAAGCCTGTATGATGCTTGTTAGCTGTGTACTTAAGTTAATTGTAATTTCACAAGCAATGTTTAGATCACAATTTTAGTGAGTTAATTGTTTACGTGCTGTGCTGTTATCATTTTGTTTGTGTTTACATGTTAAATTAAGAGTGGAGGATGTTAGCTATTGTGATATATGTGATCTGTGGTTTGGGTTAGCGAACATTTTGTTACACGCTGTTCATTTAACAGCCACAGACTCTCTCTCTCACAAATGTCTATATTGATGCTGCAGCCTTTATGATTATAAATGCAGAAAGTTCAGTCCCCTGTCACCCTAAACTCTGACCGGAACTCTAGAGTAACCCAAACTTGTAATACAGTAGTGCAGAAACATCCCTAGCGTTATTTATTTATTAAGTATTATTTCTTTTTGAAGTAAACATTGACAAAATTCTGTTGTACACTGTCAGAAAAAAGGCACTGTTTAAGTACACTCTTGTTAGAAACAGTGTAAATATACCCTCAAATTGGCAGTAATGGTCTTTAGACTCAATTGTGTCCCTTAAATTATTTTTAAAAGCTGCACTACATTCACTTACCAGGGGAAGAAGACAAATGTGTGCCTTTTTTTAAACCTGATATTTTAAAATGGGAAAACTAAATAAAATGTCTGGGGTAAGGATGGAGAATATGGAATCAGTGTAACTCAGAAGCAGGTTGCAAATGTGAAGAGCCTTTATTTGGGGAGGTACAATATTTAGAGTCCATACAACAGGCAGGGGCCAAACACAAGCAGGCAATGTTAAAAACATATACGTAAACAAAAACCAGGAGACAAGGCAGGAGTCAAAACAGGTAAAGTAATACCAAGAAAACAGCTCAGAGCTCAGAAGATAACATAGAGACTTTGCAGACTAAGAGGGAAAACCAAGGGGTATATGAAGGGGTCTTAATGAGTCCAAGATCAGATGCAGGTGTGCAAGTGGGAGGAGCCAGGGGGAGTACAAGTTGAGTCTCCCCAGAGGAGATGGACATGACAGTTTAGTATCACTTATTTTTTTTCTGAAAGTGTCTGGTGTCTGATATACTGCATATATATATATATATATATATATATATATATATATATATACACACTCCTGCAAGCTGAAGGAACTTTAAACTGAAGTGCAGCAAGAAGTCAGGAATCAAACTTATGCTCTTCTGTATTCTGTATTCATCTCATCTACATAATAAATAATTTCACTGCTAAACAACACATTATTTTTACTGTATTTGTATTTATTTGTATTTATCTTTTTGATTTGTAGAACAAACCAAATACATTGTCATTTCTTTATTAATTTAAAGTATTTTTTGTATGATGGGGGCCCATTAATTGCTTTTGCACTGGGGCCTAAAAGAACCTAGCTATACCACTGTGTGGCAGCCATTGACACTGAGGAATTTAAAGGCTGTATGTACATCACTGGAGTAACTTCTATATTCATTTGTAGTGAAGTCCTGGGAAAGAGAACAGACTCTCCAGAATCCAGCTGTCCACGCTTGAAGAGTGACAGGTTTATGGAACCTCCACAAATGTTCAAAGATGAAGACCCCTCATCTGAATACAGGTAAGAGCTCCCAAAACTTATTGACTTAACGGACCTGAACCCACCTGGGCTTTATGAAAAGTAACCAGACATTTCTGAACTGATACCACTTTTAAATATAGAAATCATACAGTTCCTCAAGGTTAAAGCACAGCTATCTATTGTGTAGACAAGTCACTGTATACTGTACATCAGTGTTGAGCCACAAGTATTAGAGCTAACCTTTCAGTTTGGACCATTAATGTCAAAAACATTGAGGGGAAAAAAAAACATCTGTACATTAGAGTTGTTTGCTACTAGCGCCACTATGAGATTCTAGTAGTATGTCAGTAATAAGCTAACAACAACACACATGAACATTTTTGGCTGTTCTAGATGGAACATAGGCATCTGAAACTTGTAAAAGAAATGTTAGATTATACACTGATAAGCCATAACATCATTGTTTCCTTGGCTATTGGCCATCCTCAGCTATTATTATTTTTTAACAAATCAATTACATGATTAGCTACCTCCTTCAAGCAGATAGTAATTGTATTCTGAATGGCCTCAATCAGACTAGTCTATTCTGATTGAGGTGTATACATGGACATATCCTATTCTGATTGAGCTATTATTCAGATTTTTTAACGAATTATCAGGCTGCATGTAAATGTGTCTGTAGAGGTGTTTAAAAACTCCAGCAGCACTGCTGTGTCTGATCCACTCAGACCAGCGCAACACACACTTACACACCACCACCACATCAGTGTTACTGCAGTGCTGAGAATCCTTTGGGGGTCCTGACCACTGAAGAACAGGGTAACAAAGTATGCAGAAAAAAGGATGGACTACAGTCTGTAACTGTAGAACTACAAAGTGCTCCTGTATGGTAAGTGGAGCTGATAAATTGGACAATAAGTGGTTTTAATGTTATGGCTGGTCAGTGTATTTGACCTTATATTTAGAGCTGCCAACACTATTTTCTATTTCTAAAAACTGGCTGAATTGTCTGCGTCCTGTTTTAAATGTTTAAGTAGTTATTTACTATTTTGCTGTATTATCATGGGTGTAAAAAGTAATAAAAATCTCTACTTAAGCACAAGTACTGTTACTGTAGTGATAATTTACTCAGGGAGTACTCAAGTAAAAGTATTAGTAAATAAAATTACTTAAGTGAGAGTAAATAAGTAGTTTATTGAAAAACTACAGTGCAGAAGTTGTTCATTTAAGAGAAAAAAGAGTCAAAATTATGAGTAGATTGCTTAATCAATAATGTAATTTTAGTGAATCCTGCTGCCCATCAGCTCCCTGGACTTACGTTAATAGATGTGAACCTCTACAGACAGTAAACACATTCACAACCTTCAGACTGTATATTTTCACTGATATCTGTTCAGAACATTTACACCATTAAAATCAGCAGCAACATCAGCAATTTACCCAGCTTTGATTTTTACTGTAATATATTTCAGTAGTAATCATGCTGATCACTTCATACTTAATCAGACATTATTACTGCATTTTACAGTTAAACAGCTGCACATCCACTCACAGTTAAAGACAAACACCAAGGCAGAGAGAGAGAGAGAGAGTGACAGAGAAAACAAAGAGAGAGAGAGAGGAAAAGACATGACGGGGAGGTGGAGGGAGAGAGAAATAGAGAGTGAGGGATAGAGCAGGGAGGTGGCGAGAGAGAGAGAGAGCAGGGAGGTGGCGAGAGAGAGAGAGAGAGAATGAGAGAGAGAGAGAGAGAGAGAGAGAGAGAGAGTGGAAGAAGAGTTAGGCAGAGTTCTGTGAAGAAATGACTGAACAGAGTCTCTGATGATGCAGTATTGTCTGTAAGGAGCCCTACACAACTGTTCATCTCCAAAACAGCAACTAAACTAGGCTGTATTTTAAATAAATTGTAGGCTGTGGACGACTCCTGTTCACAAAAGTAGCTGTGAGGCACTTCTGCTAAAATATATGTAACAGCTTTCCAGTTTAATAAACAGAATCGTTATAAAAGAAAGAAGAAAACCGTGAAACACGGTACCTGTTTAGCTCGGATCAGCTAGCTCGGCTAACGCACCCTCAGGCTGGAGCGGAGTTGTGAGAGCGGATCTCAGCAGATTTCATGTTTGGCCGCTGATAATATCGTCGTTTTCTTTAGTTCATGTTAAATGAATACAGTTGACTGTTTGGATGCAGTCTGTTCCTTGTGTGTGCTGGTTAAGACCTTCTCTCTCCTTGTCCACATCCAGCTCTGTAGTGTTTTTCCTGCCAGAGCTGCTGCTTTTTCATTGGTAGATCTTTTAAATTTAACCATGCTTTGATCTTATTGGATTATGAGCTGAAGTGCTCACAATTTATTTTTATTCTATAAATTCTACTCCAAAAATTACTGTTACAGGGACAACTGTACTCAAGTACAGTAATGAGAGTAAATGTAATTCTAATTAATGTTTATTAAGCGATTATTGTTTAATTTTAAATATTATATTTAAACATTCTAGGGGTTTAATTAATGATTATTAAAGTTGCACCTTCATTATGTATTTCTAAAGATGTACTGGTTATTATATTTAAATAATACATTTGGGGAAAATGTTTACAATTCTTTAATCAGTTGTATGTCACTAAGTAAATTATAAATATTTCAAATTACATACAGCATCTCATAAAAGTGAGTACACCCTTCACATTTCTGCAAATATTTTATTATATCTATTCATGGGACAACACTATAGAAATGAAACTTGGATATAGCTTAAAGTAGTCAGTGTAAAGCTTGTATATCAGTATAGATTTACTGTCCTCTGAAAATAACTCAACACACAGCCATTAATGTCTAAATAGCTGGCAACACAAGTGAGTACACCTCACAGTGAACATGTCCAAATTGTGCCCAATTGTGTCGTTGTCCCTCCCTGATGTCATGTAACTTGTTAGACTTACAAGGTTCCAGGTGTGAATAGGGAGCAGGGCTGTTAAATTTGATGTTTTGGGTATAATTCGCTCATACTGGCCACTGGACATTCAACATAGCACCTCAAGCAAAGAACTCTCTGAGGATGTGAGAAATAGAATTGTTGCTCTCCACAAAGATGGCCTAGGCTATAAGAAGATTGATAACACCCTGAAACAGAGCTATAGCACGGTCATACAGCGGTTTTCCAGGACAGGTTCCACTCCGACCAGGGTCAACCAAAGAAGTCGAGTCCACATGTTCAGCATCATATCCAGAGGTTGGCTTCAAAAAATAGATGCATGAGTGCTGCCAGCATTGCTGCAGAGGTCGAAGAAGTGGGAGGTCAGCCTGTCAGTGCTCAGACCATATGCCGCACAATGCATCAACTCAGTCTGCATGGCTGTCGTCCCAGAAGGAAGCCTCTTCTGAAGCTGATGCACAAGAAAGCCCGGAAACAGTTTGCTGAAGACAAGCAGTCCAAGAACATGGATTACTGGAACCATGTCCTGTGGTCTGACGAGACCAAGATAAACTTGTTTGGTTCAGATGGTGTCCAGATGGTGTGGTGGTGCCCTGGTGAGGAGTACCAAGACAGCTGTCTCTTGCCTACTGTCAAGCACGGTGGTGGTAGCATCATGGTCTGATGCTGCATGAGTCCTGCCGGCACTGGGGAGCTGTGGTTCATTGAGGGAAACATGAATTCCAACATGTACTGTGACATTCTGAAGCAGAGCATGATCCCCTCCCTTCGGAAACTGCCACATGGCAGTTTTCCAACACGACAACGACCCCAAACACACCTCTAAGACGACAAGTGTCTTGCTGAAGGTAAAGGTGATGGACTGGCCAAGTACGTCTCCAGACCTAAACCCAATTAAGCACTTGTGAGGCATCCTCAAGCGGAAGGAGGAGGAGCGCAAGGTGTCTAACATCCACCAGCTCTGTGATGTCAACATGGAGGTGTGGAAGAGGATTCCAGTAGCAACCTGTGCAGCTCTGGTGAATTCCATGCCCAAGAGGGTTAAGGCAGTGCTAGATAATACAAAATATTGACACTTTGAGCACAATTTGGACATGTTCACTGTGAGGTGTACTCACTTGTGTTGCCAGCTATTTAGACATTAATGGCTGTGTGTTGAGTTATTTTCAGAGGACAGTAAACCTATACTGATATACAAGCTGTACACTGACTACTTTAAGTTATATCAAAGTTTCATTTCTATAGTGTTGTCCCATGAAAAGATATAGTAAAATATTTGCAGAAATGTGAGGGTTGTGTTCACTTTTGTGAAATACTATATGTTATTTGAATAAGTCATATTAGGTACATCCTGTGTGTGACACTTCAACAGAATCCAGACGCTCGCGGTGTAACAAAGGCGAAAGGAGATTTAATGGAATCAGGCAAAAACGAAGTCAAAAAACAAGCAGGGGTCAAATCCAAACAGCCAATACAAAACACAACAATGATAAAATCACCGTGTGAACAAAACCAGGGGGCAAGACAAAAGGGCAAGTCGAAAAACAGTCCAGTAGATCAAAAAACACAGAACACAAATCACAGGCAACAGTATCCAAAAGGGTAAAGGCAAAAAGCAGAGTCGAGTAAACAAAGCAAAGGGTCAAAAACACAGCAGAGTAAAGATCAGAAATAACGCTCAGTAGGGTTCGGAAAGAAACAATACCTCGCACTGATCTTCCCTAAAGCCCGGGCTTAAAAACTATCCTGTTCTGATCATATGATCTAAAGCACAGGTGCCAATAATCAGTAGTCAGGAGAATGAGAGCGCTGATAGGAGCGCGAGATATTGTCCGAAGTCATGTGGTCCCCTTGAGGATCGTGGGAATTGGAGTCCGTATCATCCCTTGATACTGGCAAATGCGTGACACTGTGACAAATATATATATATATATATATATATATATATATATATATATATATATATATATATATATATATATATATATATATATTCCTTATGATGCTTTGTTTCTTACAGACCTGACTCTGAATGTACTGTAACTAAACTTCAGGAAGACTTCAAGTTAAATCTGAAACAGAAGTTTCAGTGTTTGAATGAGGTGACAACAAACCAGGAAACCCCAACACCTCTCAGCGAGATCTACACAGAGCTCTACATCACAGAGGGAGACAGTGGAGAGGTCAATAATGAACATGAGGTCAGACTGATTGAGGCAGCATCCAGGAGAACAGCAACAGAGGACACACCAATCAAATGCAATGACATCTTTAAACCCTTATCTGAACAAGACAAACCCATCAGAACTGTGCTGACAAAAGGAGTCGCTGGCATTGGAAAAACAGTCTCTGTGCAGAAGTTCATTGTGGACTGGACTGAAGGGAAAGCAAATCAGGATGTCCACTTCATATTTCCACTTCCTTTCAGAGAACTGAATTTGATGAAGGACCAAAAACTGAGTTTGGTGGATCTTCTTCATACACGGTTTAAGAAGATTAAAGAAATGGAAATATCCAGATCTCACAAAGTTCTGTTCATATTTGATGGTTTGGATGAGTGTCGTTTCACTCTAGATTTTCAGAGCACTGTGAGGTTGGATGATGTCACTCAGTCATCCTCAGTGAACATGCTGCTAACCAATCTGATCAAGGGGAATCTGCTTCCCTCTGCTCTCATCTGGATCACCTCCCGACCTGCAGCAGCTGATCAGATCCCCTCTGAGTGTGTGGATCGACTGACAGAAGTACGAGGGTTCAGTGACCCACAGAAGGAGGAGTACTTCAGGAAGAGAATCAGTGATCAGAGTCTGACCAATAGAATCATCACACACCTGAAGACATCAAGAAGCCTTTACATCATGTGCCACATTCCTGTGTTCTGCTGGGTTTCAGCCACTGTTCTAGAGAGAATGTTGGGTGAAGCAGAGAGTGGAGAGACCCCCAAAACTCTGACTCAAATGTACACACACTTCATCATTCAGACAAAGATCATAAGAGAAAAGTACCAGAAGTCAGATAAGAAAATACTTCTCAAACTGGGACAACTGGCTTTTCAGCAGCTGATGAAAGGAAACCTGATCTTCTATGAGGAAGATCTGAGAGAGTGTGGCATCGACATTGAAGAAGCATCAGTGTACTCAGGTGTGTGTACACAGATCTTCAGAGAGGAATCTGGGCTGTACCAGAATAAAGTGTACTGCTTTGTTCATCTGAGCATTCAGGAACATCTTGCAGCTCTATATGTGCACCTGACCTTCATGAAGCAGAAGAGAAATGTGCTTAAACAGAGTCAGTCCTCTAAACTGAAGATCCTCAGGAAAATCTCTGATGTACACAAGAGTGCTGTGGATCAGGCCTTACAGAGTAAGAATGGACATCTGGATCTTTTCCTTCGCTTTCTTCTGGGTCTCTCACTGGAGTCCAATCAGACTCTCTTACAAGAGTTAGTGACACACACAAGAAGTAGCTCCCACAGCAAAGAGAAAACAGTTAAATACATTAATAAGAAGATCAGTGAGAATCTCTCTGCAGAGAAATCCATCAATCTGTTCCACTCTCTGAATGAACTGGATGACCGTTCTCTAGTTAAGCAAGTTCAACAGTACCTGCAGTCTGGCAGTCTTAACGGAAGAACACTCTCTTCTTCACAGTGGTCAGCTGTGGTCTTTGTACTGCTGACATCAGGAGGGAACCTGGATGAATTTGTCCTGCAGAAATATAACAGATCAAATGATGTTTTTCTGAAGCTGCTGCCTGTATTTGCAGAATCCAGAACAGCTGAGTAAGTAATGCTGAATAAAACTGACACAATATTAGAAACATATTGAGAATGAAACACTGCTTCATTATTCAAATTTTCATTCTTTTAAATACAAATTGTAAATTGTAAATACAGAAAATCCAACAAATTGGCTTCATATCTCTGAACATTTTGCATAGTTTATTTATTTTCATTTGTGTGTATTTTGCTGTTCAGCAGCTTTAACAGGTTATTTTAGGAGCTCATTTCAGTAAAATTTATGTTAATTTTTTGGATGTTGTTCTCTTCAGTCTATCAAATTGTAATCTGACATGGTCAAGCTGTGCAGCTCTGGCCTCAGTGCTCAGCTCAGAGTCCTCCAGTCTGAAACAGCTGAATCTGGATGGGAATAAACTAGGAGATTCAGGAGTGAAGCTGCTCTCTGCTGGACTGGAGAGTCCTCTCTGTAAACTGGAAACATTGTGGTAAGATAATCTTTTCTTCACATGTCCTGGACCTCAATATGATTTATTCTCTTGTAATACTTTCAGTTCATAATTTTAATTAGCTATGTATAAACACACAGTACATAATAAATATTAGGGTCTAATTTTGTTGATCATTATTTTTTTTTAAATAATTGGCAAAATCACAGCCCTGATGTGATTGAATGTTGTGTAAGTCAACACAGCTGTACAAACACTTGCGGATGTTGTTACTGTTTGAAATGTGATCTAATCTCATGGTAAAAAACATGCAAAGGTCAGATCTAAAATAATCCAAAAAGACACAAGGAAAAACATAACAGAGTCAGGCAACCAAGATCAAAAGGCCAAAGGCAAAAATCAAAAGTCCAAAAACACAGTCCAGACACGCAAAAGGCAAAAACAATATATAACAGTAGCTCAGTAGCTCAAGTAAATGAATCAATACCTTGCAAATTGCTAAGCAAATGAACAGAACAGGAACTAGCAATTTCTGGGGCAATTTGTTTGGATGTTGGGTGTGGAGGTCCGTGATCAGTCCTGGGTCCAGAACCTCACACGCCGACCAGCACTGTTCCTCTGGCCCATACCCCTCCCAGTCTACTAGGTACTGGAGTTGAGCACCACGTCTCTGGGAGTCCAGCAACCTGCGAACAGCATAGACTGACTGGGTCTCCATCCAAAGGGATCACCAGGCAAAGCCTCGTTGTGCAGACTTAAAACCACAGGTTTGAGAAAAGAGACAAAAAGAGCGTGACACACAATAACAAGGCAGTAAATCGAGTTTATACGTGACATCATTCATTTTTTTTCAAGAATCATAAATGGACCAACATATTTGGGATTTAGTTTCTTACTCCCCTCAAACTCCCTGGTTGAGAGCCATACCTGCTTTCCAGGTTGGTATAAAAGGGTCTCTCCTTGATGGCGGTCAGCCTGGATCTTTTGTCTTTAGAGGACAGCCTCAATCCTTTGATGTGTTTTCTCCCAGACTATTTCACTGCACTGCATCCAACTATCTACGACTGGAATATCAGACGAGATTCCAGTCCATGGGGCTACAGCAGGTTGATAACTGAAAACACATTGAAAGGAAGTAAGTCCAGTAGTGGAGCTTATGAATGAGTTTTGTGCCATCTCCGCCCAAATCACATAACATGCCTGGTCAGCAGGATTATTATGACAGTACAAGCATAGGAATTTATCTAATTCTTGGTTAACCCGCTCACATTGACCATTTGACTGTGGATGATACCTAGAGGTTAAATTAACTCCCAAAGGCTCAAAAAACAATAATAATAATAATAATAATAATAATAATAATAATAATAAAATTTTATTTGATAAGCGCCATTCAAGACACCCAAGGACACTGTACAAGATTAAAATTATAATAAAAATAAACAAATAAATAAAAATAGCATGTAGAAATATGTAAAAGCAATACACATAATTCACAAAAATCACAGTACTGGTTCATCCAAAAGCCAGCTGGAAAAGGTCAAACAAGCATGCAACTCGGAGGGGAAACTGTTCCACAGCTTGTGGCCAGCAATACCGAATGCCCTGTCACCAACAGTACGCAGCTTAGAACGAGGAACTTTGAGCAAATGTGAATCAGAGGAGCAAAGAGTGCGCGCTGGAGGGTATAGCTGTAGCAGACTACCACGGTAGGAGGGGGCAAGGCCATTCAAAGATTTAAAAACCAGCACAAGCAATTTGCATCAAACGCGATACTGTACTGGGAACCAATGAAGCTGTTTCAGAGTTGGACTGATGTGTTCCCAGGATCTTGTGTGGGTTAAAACCCTAGCCGCTGAATTTTGCACTTACTGCAGCCTATTCAGAACCCGAGCAGGGAGTCCATATAGATAGAAATGCAGTAGTCAATTCTAGATGTTATAAAAGCATGGATAACAGTCTCAGCAGCAGAAAAAGAGAGAAAAGCGTGGATCCTAGCAATGCTCTTCAGATGGAAAAAGGCTGCTTGATATGGGGTTCAAAAGACAGAGTGGAGTCAAAAATCACTCCCAAATTTCTAATCTGGGTTGAGGAAGAGACAATATAACCAGGAATAGAGACAGCAGTGTTGCTTATCTTTTTAATTGTAGCTGGAGAGGCAATTAATATGGCCTCCGACTTTTTACTATTCAGACTCAGGAAGTTCTCAATCATTCATGTCCTAACTACAGCTAAACAATTAATCAAAACCAAAGAAGGTAGACAGTATATATATATAGATCTGCACATTGTCCGCAAAACAATGAAACTGCAATCCACATCTCCTGATGATGTCACCAAGGGGGAGCATGTGCAATATAAAGAGCAAAGGGCCAAGGACTGACCCCTGAGGGACACCACATGACAGGGAGCATGAGTCAGATCTGTTACCTCCAATAGAGACAAACTGCTGCCAGTCTGCTAGATAATACAGAAACCAGGCAAGTGCAGTACCAGATATGGTAATCAAATTTTGAAGCCGATGTAGTAGTAGACTATGGCATACTGTATCAAAAGTGGCAGTAAGGTCCAATGGAACAAGCAAATTCAACAAACCCTTATCAGCTGCTATTAAGAGATCATTCACCACCCTAACAAGCGCAGTTTCAGTGCTGTGATTCTTTCTAAAACCAGACTGGAGAACTTCAAACAGGTCATTGGATTCTATATGGTCTATTAACTGGACTGCTACCGGCTGTTCAAGTATTTTGGTGAGAAATGGGAGATTAGAGATTGGCCTGTAATTTGCTAAGTTCTCAGAGTCTAAACCAGTCTTCTTGAGAACCGGCGTAATGGCAGCCAATTTCAAACAAGCTGGGACAAAACCTGAACTGAGTGAGGCATTGATAACCTGAGTAATGAGAGGACAAACTGAAGCATGACATGCTTTCACCCAGTGTGTTGGCATGGGGTTCAGTTGGCAAATGGTAGCTCTAGAGGACTTAATAAGCTGTAAGACAAAACTTTGATGCACAGTATTAAAAATGGAAAAACAACTGCTGTTAAATTGAAAAGATTGAGGCTGGAAATTCAATGAAGCTAAAATAGGCTGAAATTGAGGGTAAATTAAATCAATTTTGTTATTAAAAAAGGCCATAAACCGAGACCAAAGTTCTGGTGATGGGGCCAAAGGGAAACATTTCACAGGACACAGTAACTTATTAACAGTAGAAAAGAGAACTCTAGAATTACCATGTATGCCTTGGATGACTTTTGAATAATAGAGTGTTTTAGCTTTCTTCAGTTCCTCCTTATAGCTAAAAACATGGTCTCTGTAAGCGAGGGCATGGACCGTCAAGCCAGTTCTCTTCCAATGGTGCTCAGTTTGCACAGCTCTGGTGTGTACCAAGGAGCAGGATATGAAAAAGTTACTGTGTGTGTCCTAAGAGGAGCCAGATGATTCAATATACATGAGAGAGTTTCATCATAATGGAACACTAGGGTATCAGGATTCATAGCGGAGAAAAAAGTCTCTGCTGTTTGGAAAGCAGTAGGTAGTGATGTAAACGAGGAGAAACATACACTTTGGGAAAACCTGTCAATCACCGTGAGTATTGTGATATAACCCTGAGAATTTGGTAAGTCTGTGACAAAGTCTAGAGCTATGTGTGACCATGGTCTGTTAGGAATGGGCAATGGCATAAGCTTGCTTGCTGATAGTGTCATTGGAGTCTTACATTGTGAGTATGTGGAGCATGAGGCTACGAATTTGTCTTTATTCATCGACTCCCACCAGTATCTGTTAGAAATTAGTTATTTTGTGCAGGTCTCCCCTAGATCACTAGATGTGAGTGATGAATGGCTCAGAGGGATCTGGTTTCAAAATTGAGGCAGAAGTGAATGCTTCCTTGAAATGTTTAAATGCACTTTCTGCCTGTGTGGACCAAGTCAATTTACGGGGACTGCCCTTTAAAAGGGCGGTTAGTGAGGCTGCTATGGTACTAAAATTACAAATGAAACACTGATAAAAGTTACCAAATCCTAGAAATCGCTGTAACTCCTTGACTGATATGGGTTTGGGCCAGTTCATCACTGCTTTTTATTTTGTTGTCATCCATCAGAACCCCATTGGAACTAATGACATACTTGAGGAAAGCTACTGACTGCAAATAAAACTCACATTTTTCTCGCTTTACAAACAGATTATTCTCTAGTAGACATTTAAAGACTGAGCGGACATGGCTGACATGGGTTTTGAGATCAGGACAGTAGATGAGGATGTTGTCGATATAGGCAATCACAAACTGGCCTATCACATCATGTAGAACGTTGTTAATAAAAGCTTAAAACACAGACAGAGCATTGGACAGGCCGAATGGTATTACTAGATATTCGTAGTGCCTCCTAGTGGTGACAAATGCTATTTTCCATTCATCCCCTTCTCTACTTATTTAGTTGTAAGTGCTGCAGAGGTCTAATATAATGAAGTATTGGGCTCCTCTTAGTTGTTCACGAGCTACCAGGATGTAATTTTTGGTGATCTGATTTAGGTCACGATAATCTATACAAGGGCAAAAAAAAAGCTTTCTCATCCTTTGAGTTAGACCCTAGATTTAGACATGGTAGCATACTCTACTAAATCAATAGCGCAATCATATGGTCTGTGAGGGGGCAATTTGGTTGCATTACCCTTACTGGATACTTTAAGAAAATCATGATATTCAGTTGGGAGGTAAGGGACTGTCTCTGAGCTAGGGCTCTCTATGGAAGTTGAATGGAAATAGGAGGGAGAATTAATCAGTTTTGGTGACATAAGTCAGACCATGACAATAGCTCATGGTCTAAGAGATTCTTAACAGGTTCCCCGAGGGCTTTACTGGAATTCTCAGCTCCTCCACCAGCTTAGCATGAATGAAGTTCCCTTCACCTCCAGAGTCAATTAATCTAAAACAACAGAATAACTGTAGTGTCAGGAAACAATCACTGGTAAGAGGAAGGATTTCGAAACCATCCCCTACTCACCACATTAGTAGCTTCCACTCGCTTTCCAGAGGGTGGTGCCTGAGGTCTGTTTGGACGGGCTTGCCAGTCACGTAGAAGGTGACCTGCAGTCCTGCAATATAAGCACACACCCCCCCTTAAACGTTGAAGCCTTTCCTCAGCAGACAGACAGGGCTTGTCACATTGTATGGCCTCTTCCTGGTCACTGGAGGAAAATCTTTCAATGTTTACAAGGAGCTGTGATGGAAGGGTTGTTGTGTGATAGAAGAGCCCTGCAGTCCTGTGAAAGTTGGTCCAGACGAATAGAAACAGAGATCAATTGGTCCAGTGTCAGTTCATCATCTCAACAGGTTAGTTCAGTGAGGATATCTAAGTTGAGACCCTGGGGAAACATAACTAACAGAGCCGGCTCATTACAGCTGCTACTAGCCGCCAGGGTTCGGAACTCCATTGCATATTTTGCTACCGTACATTTTCCTTGACACAGCTTTGAAAGGAGTTCACTAACCTTTCTATCATGTGGGTGATAGAACACAGTGCAAAACCTCTTTACAAATTGTTTATAAGATAGCGACTGTAGCTTGAGCCAGATGGCAGTTGCCCACTCCAGATACCACAAAAGAGTTAAATCTGAACTTGGTGGGAAGTTGTTAAAAAAATAAAGCACAAGAGTAAAAATCCACAGCATTTGCCAGGGTTGCCATCATACTTATTAGGCTTACAGAAAAAACTAGAACAAGGGACCTCAGCAGGTGTGGAGACGCTCACAGGGTTATCAGTACTACTAGCAGCACTTAGGAGCTGTAACCGAGAAGTCAGTTCTTTAACATTACTAAATAATTATGCTAGTTGGTTTGTTGCTCGGCTTGCTGTATAGATAAAGTTTCTAGTGATTGAGAAACCCCAGACAGTACCTGCTGATGTTGTCCCCATAGCTGACCTTGATTAACTATGGCCTTCTTCATAGTCTCTGAATCCACCATCTGCATGGGTGGCGAGGTATTCTGTAACACAACACAACTGCACAGATGCTTGTGGATGTTGTTAAAAGAAGAGTCTTTACTGTTTGAAACATGGTCCAATGATCATAGATAGGAAACATGCAAAGGTCAGATCTAAAACAATCCAAAAAGACACAAGGAAAAACATACCAGAGTCAGGCAACCAAGATCAAAAGGGCAACGGTAAAAATCAGAGGCAAAAGTCCAAAAACATAGTCCAGACACTTAAAAGGCAAAAACAATATAGAATGCTCAGTAGCTCAAGGAAATGAATCAATACCTCACAATACCTCGCAAATTGCTAAGCTAAAAGCCTGGACTTATAAACTGACTGACTAGATTCATGTGACAAGCAAAATAGGTGTAACAGATTAGTATTCAGGTGAGGAAGAGCATCAATTGGTTGTTGTTGGCTGATCAGCAGTCGCATGATCTCCAAGAGAGTTTTGGGAAGTATAGTTCTCAGATCCAGAAGAATGTATGACATTTTGCAGATTTTTATATATTTTGTGAAGCACAATTTTGAAAGTATCATCATCATATTCTTATTTAAGTTTAGGGGGAAATTTTTAATTTCATTAAGCAATAAAAAGATAACAAATTGAGAAATAGCCCTGTATAACAAAAGTCAGTGATTCTGACAAACACTATAAAGTAAGACGGTAAAACAATAAGAAATAAATTTATAAAATAGGACTAAGTAACATTTGGTGTTAAAGACATCTGTCATTTTTCCATGGCTGTAGTCTCAGAGTTTGCAGTGCAGTGCTTATAGATGTACTTTACAATCTGTTGCTGTTGTAACTGTTCAAAAGAAAATTTGACCTAAAATTGGACATCTTTTGTTACTGGAAGAAATTCAGATTTACAGTTCCGTAAGGCCACACACTGTCATCTGTCTGATGGTTTTAAATTAGATGCTGTCATTTATGATGGGATAAACATGTTAAAATTTAGAAAAGACGATGGTAACTGAGGAAATTCAGGCAAATGTTTATAGCAGGGTGCATGAGAGTTATAGCACAGGACTCAAAATGAACTTTTTTAGCACCTTCCCTAAACTGCCTTGAGGCTTATTTCTGTATGCTTGTTTAAGTTTGTTTACAGATTCGCTTACAAGCCAAATAGCCAATCTAAGTGATTAAATGCTTTAAAACATTAAATATTAATATCTTTGTTTACTTGCACTGCACAGCCTGCTCATCATCTACCAAGTGATTAGAGTAGACAAAAATGTGATAGAGTGGAGATTCTGTCCTGTGATTCTACTGCTGTCTCTCACTACACACTGTGCCAATTAAATTTTCTGTAAGCACAAACACTCTCAAGCCTGTTTCACACTAGATGTGGTATCCGTGTGGCATGGATGCACCGCGCTGTGTGCATTATGCTCCTTTATTAATCAATGTAGCCTTTCACTTCGGCTGCACTTCACATGGCACCGAGGCGGTAATGCGTGAGTGAAATGCAAAATAAGGCTTTGGCTCTATTCTTAATGCATGCTGTGAGTGCATGACAGCTGTTTCTGGGCAGTAAAAACAGTAAAGAAATGCAGGGTTTATTCTATAATATCCAATCTCAGCTAATAAACAAATCAGCAAATGTAGGTTTAACTCTTTGACAACTAAATCTCTTCATATAGCTGTACATCACGTGGTGATAATGCCAGCAATAGTCTCAACAGCAAGTCAGGTTTGTGTTGATCTCTATCATTCACAGAAAGTTTATTTTAGCAATAAATGGACAATACAGATGTTTCAACTGTATGAAAATATAATGCAAACAGAAACCGCTTTCCCCTCACTACACGCTTGTGTCGGGTCCACTGTGAAATAACAAGTGTCGTGGTGAGGTTACGAATTACCCTCATGTGCCATGTCACATCTGGGGTGGATTTGGCTTTAGGAAATGTTACTTCCAGCATTATCACATTTCCCACTATTTCACAGCATCTACTGACGTCTGACTGTAGAATGACGAAACTGACACAAGGGAGACAAACATAACACAGCAGCCACACTGACACCGGCACAGCCTCATAATCGCAGGCATTGACCAGTGCCAATTAGCTCAAAATGGTATTTAATGAGCTTAACTAATTGGCAGACCAACTAATCAGTCTACAAACGTTTTTATTAGCAGATTTGTTAACGCATGTTGAAAATTGCTGCAAGACCATTTAATTTGAAATAAAAACTTAGAATAACAAATATGTTCTAAACTGCGTAATTTTATCCTTGTTGGTGAAACCCCTAAACCAAAAAAAAAACAAAAACAAAAGTAAAGAAATAAATAATAAACATCAAAGCAAGATAAGCATATTAAATTAATTTTGTAAAAAGTTCTGCTTCTTAACAATTTATTAACAATTGGCATTTCTACTAAATAAGTTGTATGAACTTGTGTTTGTGTAACATTGTTAAAATTTGACATTTTAGTCTTTAGCTCTGATGCTTATTTGCATTATTATACAAATGTAAATATCAATACTCTGAAGTTGTCCGTTTATGTTGAATTGTATGATATAAAGAGTGGACGTCCACAGAACCATGCTGTAAGAAATGTAACAGGACTTTGAGCCCTTGCATTTGTCCTAAGAGTGAGTCTGGATAGGTATTAGTGGAAAAACTCATTTAGATCAAAGTGTTTAATATCTATCAATATAATTAATATCTACTAAAATCTAGAGATTAGAGATTTTTGGTGTTGATATCGATCGCTGGACACCTTTAAGCGTGATTGTCCAATAGTCAATACCCACTGAGGGTGGGGCTGGACTGATGTTAGTGTTCTAAAGTGGAATCAGTAAGACATAAGACATAAGTTGACCGTCAAAAGACAATTGTTTAGAACAAAACTTTCAATAGAAGTTCTGTAAATTACAGAAAAAGTGGAGAGTCCTTTTTCTGTTATGCTTCTAAACTGTGGAACTCTTCACTTACCACTTTTTACATGGCATTTTTTTCTTTTTACTTTATCTTTAAACTTCTAATAAAACTCATCCTATTTATATTTTCATTTTACCATCTACTTATTTTACTTCAATAATTTAAAAATTAGCATATGACATTTAGAATTATGCAACTTATCATATTATTAGCAATAACACAGACCATTCAAATATTTTTCTACTGGGTTTTAGTTCCTGCTGAAGTGATCTGTGTGTTCTGAACTGAGAGTGAACATTATGTCATTGTGTTCTCTCTGCAGGATGTATTATTGTAATTTCACATATGAAGGCTGTGCTGCTCTGACTTCAGCTCTGAAATCAAACCCCTCACACCTGAAAGAGCTGAATCTGTCCTATAATAAACTGGGAGATTCAGGAGTGAAGCTGCTCTCTGCTGTACTGGGGAATCCTCTCTGTAAACTGGAGTCACTGAGGTAAGATCATCTCTCTGAGAGTCACACATGACCTGCTCCTCAGTAAAACATGTTCTTTAATCATGAATATTCTCTGATCTCTATTCGAGTCTGTAGGTTCAGAATCAAAATCCTGAATGTTTCAGTTCTTCAGAGACTTTTCATTCTCTCTTTATGCTGTTTTTTTGTGTTGTTTTCTGCACTCATGTTTTGATTTTTTAATTATCATATTGGAACTATAATAAATGTTATCATTCAGAAAAAGTTTAATCAATTTTGTAATGATTTGTTAATTGTATTTGTTTTTAGAGAGTATCAGTTAAAAATTTGGACACACCTACTCATAGAACTTACTTTATTTTTTGACTTCCATGATGTAGAACTTGTAGAACAAAAAAAAAAAAACATCAAATTTTGTCTACTTATATTTGCCTCTTATTTCAGATTCAAATAATGATTTTAGTGAGTTAAAAATGAGTTAACAATGACCCAAATGTAACTGTGAAATTAATATTTTTCTGGCCCTTACTGCTCAATAATCATCTTAATGTTAGTCTATTAAAAATTAAATGTGTACAGTCATTGAATAATGAATGAGTACAGTAGTGGCCTCTTGATCTTCACCATTTATGTTTTTATATGAGTGGTTCATCAGTGATCTCTTTCTATTATTATACTTCTAAACTGCTACTTACCACTTTTAATCTGTGCGCAAATTTATGTTTTTATTTTTCTTCAATATTTTAATGCAAATGAGTCTATTTATCTTTCATTAATACCTTCTCTTTCATTTCACTTCATTTTATTTTATTTCACTTTTAATTACCATTTTTATCTGTTGTTCCTTTTTTAACTGTACTTTTTATTGTAAAGCACTGTAGTCACATGTTGATGATGAAATTGCTACTGAACTGATCTGTGTGTTTTGAACTTAGAGAATGAAGAGTGCATCATTGTTCTCTCTGCAGGTTGTGTAATTGTAATATCACAGATGAAGGCTGTGCTGCTCTGACTTCCGCTCTGAAATCAAACCCCTTATATCTGAAAGCACTGTATCTGTCTGAGAATAATCTAGGAGATTCAGGAGTGAAGCTGCTCTCTGCTGTACTGGAGAATCCTCTCTGTAAACTGGAGACTCTGTGGTAAGATCATCTCTCTGAGAGTCACACATGACTTTTTTCAGTAATGAACTTTCTCCCAATAAAGCATTTGTTATATTCACTTTACAACTTGGTTCCTTAGTAACCTGCAACTATGCATAAACTATAAACTTTTTATGATAAAAAATATAGTAATTATTTGTAATGAATCATGAATTATGCTTTTTTTTATTAATAAATGAACATGAGAAGGAATTGTTTGTTCCCATTTCAAATATCAAATAAAGTACATTTACAGAATGAATGGACATATTAGCTAATATATTAACTAAGATTAAATTGTGTGTTTAAGACCACTAATTTTAATGCAAAAAAGGTGAGGAACAAATGGTATATAATAATAATAATAATAATAATAATAATAATAATAATAATTCTATTTTTCCTATTACTACTACTACTAATAATAATATATACAGTATATGTATGTGTGTTTGTGTGTGTGTGTGTTTATAGGCTAACACTAAGCATGTTACTTCAGCTCTGACTAGCTATTTGTTTCTTTAACCCTTGTAAACAATGCTGAGAAGCTAACTGGCTAACAGTTAGCATGCCAGCCCAACCACGACCACAAGAGGCGATTGAGTTCAATAATCAGTTTTATGGAGGCCTTTGCACCAGTTAAAGCTCAAACTATGTCATGCCAACAGAAAGCACCTTGGAGAAAAGCACCTTGGAGAAAAGCTACTTCAGTTCAGCTCCAAAAGAGAGAATGTAGGAAGGCTGAATGTAGATGGTGTAAAACCAAGTTTCAAATTTACAAAGAAATCTTCAAAGACAGGCTGTCTGATTACAACACACTAATGTACAAAGCTATACAATCCTTTTTCTCCATCATTATCAACAATAATAACAATAGCAGAATACTCTTCACCATGGTTGACAAACTACCTGCATATATGACCCCTGAATTAGTATACCCTGAGAAATGCAATTAGTTTTCATTCTTGTTTAACATTAAAATCCAACATAGACATTAATATACATCTATATCCACTGGAGAGCCCATGTCCTCTCCATCATCACGTAAAGATGTCATGGTTAAAATGTCCCAGTTTAGTGCTATCAGTAATAAAATTTTAATTGATACAGTAACTCAACTCAGATCCTTCACTGCACATGTTATCAACCAACCAACTTTTTAAAGAACATGTTTACTCAATAGCAGCAGACATACTTCAGATAGTAAACACCTTACTCATGTTGGGCATTTTCTCCTAACAAATTAAAAACTGTAGTGAAGCCTCTCTTCAAAAAGATAAAACTGGACGCAAGTCTATTGACTAATTACAGACAGATTTCAAGCATACCTTTCATTGGAAAATCATTGGAAAAATAATCTTCAAGTAACTTACTGGCTTTCTGTCCTTAAATAGCTGTTTAGACAAATTTCAGTCAGCTTTTCAGCCTAATCATAGTACTGAAACAGCTCTAACTAAAGTTATTAATGATATTCATTTAAATACAGACTGTGCACAAAAAAAAGATATCTTACCACAGCTATGCAGAGGATACTCAGATCTACAATTCCCTCTCCCCAAACAACTATGGCCCCCTTGACTCCCTTTGTAACTGCCTTGAGCACATCATGAACTGGATAGGACAAAACTTTCTGCATTGCGCTTGGTGATGTAAGGCTTGGATGCAGCTGTTTGGCCATGGAAACCCATTCAATGAAGCTCTCTATGCTGTTCTTGAGCTAATCTGAAGGCCACATGAAGTTTGGGGGTCTGTAGTGATTGACTCTGCAGAAAGTTGACAACCTCTGCACACTATGCACCTCAGCATCCGCTGACCCCACTCTGTCATTTTACATGGCCTACCACTTCGTGGCTGAGTTGCTGTCGTTCCTAATTGCTTCCACTTTGTTATAATACCACTGACAGTTGACTGTGGAATATTTAGTAGCGAGGAAATTTCACGACTGGACTTGTTGCACAGGTGGCATCCTATCACGGTACCATGCTGGAATTCACTGAGCTCCTGAGAGCGACCTATTCTTTCACTAATGTTTGTAGAAGCAGTCTGCAGGCCTAGGTGCTTGGTTTTATACACCTGTGGCCATGGAAGTGATTGGAACACCTAAATTCAATGATTTGGATGGGTGAGTGAATACTTTTGGCAATATAGTGTAGCTGTCTATCTGGATTCCAGAGCCATAAAACCTAAAGAACTAGTACATAATCTTGATATACTAATGGATGCTAATCTTAGTTTTAACAGTCATGACAAAGCAGTTGCTAAATCAGCTTTTTATCACCTTGAGAACATCAACAACATCAAAGACTTTCCGACTAAACCAAACCTGGAGGAAGTCATTCTTGCCTTTTCTAGCAGGATTGATCACTGTAATGGTCTCCTAACCGGACTAAAAAATAATCTAACAGCTTCAGCTGATTCAGAATGCAGCTGCCAGTGTCTCACTAGGAGTAAAAGAAGAAACACGTCCCCCCATTCTTAAATACTTACACTATACCAGTCTGTTCCAGAATAGACTTTGATACTACAACCCCATTTCCAAAAACGTTGGGATGCTGTGCAAGATGTAAGTAAAAATAAAATGTGCAAATTGTGCAAACCTTACATTTGGTTAAAAATAGTACAAAAACAATATATTAAATGTTGAAACTGAGAAATTCTGCCTTTGATGCCAACAAAATATTCCAAAAAAGTTGGGACAGGGACAACAAAAAGCACCTGGTGGTTGATTGGCAACAGGTCAGTAACATGTTTGGGTATAAAAGAGCATTCCAGAAAGGCTGAGTCTTTCAGAAGTAAAGATGAGGAGGGGTTCATCACTCTGTGAAAGACTGCATGATCAAGTAGGGCAAAAATTCAAGAATAACATTATTCAACATAAAATTGAAAGAACTTTTGCTCTTTCATCATCTACCATACATAATAACATAAAAAGATTCAGAGAATCGGGAGAAATCTCTGTATGTAACGGACAAGGCCAAAAACCAGTATTTGCTGGCTGTGATCTTTGGGCCCTCAGGCAGCACTGCATTAAAAACAGACATGATTCTGTAGTGGAAATCACTGCATGGGCTCAGAAACACTTCTGAAAACCACTGTCTGTGAAAACAGTTTGTTGCTGCATCCACAAAAGTTAAAACTCTAAAACACAAAGACAAAACTGGATCCAGGAATGCTGCCACCTTCTCTGGGCCCAAGCTCATTTCAAATGGACTGAGAGGAAGTGGAAAAGTGTCCTGTGGTCCAACGAATCAACATTTGAAATTATTTTTGGAAATCATGGACACTGTGTCCTCCACTCAGCTTGTTATCAGTGCACAGTTCAAAAGCCAGTATTCATGATAGTGTAGGAGTGTATTAGTGCACATGGCATGGGTGACATGCACATCTGTGAAGGCACCATTAATGCTGAACAAAATAAATTTTTACAGGTTTTGGCATCATATATTACCGTTCAGATCATGTCATTTTCAGGTAAGGCCTTGTTTATTTCAGCAAGACAATGCCAAACCACATTTTGCATGTATTACAACAGAGTTGCTCCATATTAAAAGAGTCCGGGTGCTAAACTGACCTGCCTGCAGTCCAGATCTGTCACTCACCGAAAACATTTGGCACATTATGAAATGAAAAATACAACAAAGGAGACGTCAAGCTGTTGAGCAGCTGAAATCCTATATCAAACAAGAACAGGAAACATTTAACTTTCAAAACTACAGCAGTGTCTCTCCAGTTCCCAAACCTACAAAGTAAAAGAAGATGTGTTGCAGTACAGTGGTAAATATGCCCCCTTCCCAACTTTTTTGGAACATCTTGTTAGCATCAAATTCAAAATGGGCATATAGTTTTCAAAAAACAATACAATTTCTCAGTTTCAACATTTGATATTTTGGCTTTGTACTACACACACACACACACACACACACACACGTCTTCTCCTGGGTCACAGGGTCTTTGTACTATTTTCCTTTAAAAATACAGTTTACATGATTTGCATATCATCCAACCTTATTGGAAATCGGGTTGTATTCCTAGACTAGAATATGCTGGTGCAGGACCAGCATATTTATTTCATAGGTCCTTAGAAACTAGTCAGTTAGTCCTGCTGAAAGTAAAGTCTACACATGGAGAAGCAGCTTTTGACTACTTTGCTGCTCTTAAATGGAACCAGTTAACAGAGAGCAATAAGAGCCCCAACACTGAACACTTTTAAATTCAGGCTCATAATATACCTATTTGAGCAGCTTTTGGCTCAGTTTAAAACACTGTTAGCATTTTAGCCCTTCTCCTCTGTAACACCACTTTATTATCCTCCATTATCCTAATTTAATTTCTAATTTGATTTTTAGTTCAATGATGTTCTCTTAAATCTGTTGACTCTGTATTTTTTCATTTCCAAAACACTTTGAATGACAGCAGTGTATGAAAGCTGCTATAGCTATACCACATGTGTCAGGATCCAGTCCTTGTGGGCCAAAACACTGCACTTCAGCACACTGCCTCATTAAACACACCTGACACACCAGCTCATTAGCTAACTATCAAAGCCTTTATGAACTGATTTCAGAGCGTTAGATGAGGGTTAACGCTCTAACTGTCAAAGCACTTTGGCCCAGAAGATCCCCACTTTGACATGCCTGAGCTATACTGAGGTTTGTGAGCCATTACAGTCCTATGAATGATAAAAAACTCTAACCAAACAGGTTGGAAGAGCATGTAACTATCATAAATAATCTCCTTCTGTCAGACTTAATAAGTCTATGATTTCTTCCAGAACTGTTATCAGCATTTAAAAAAAAAGAACCACAGAATAATCTGAACTATTGGTGTCTTTGGAATGGCATTATTTTGAGTTCAATTGTTTGAGTTCAAAAGTGTTAGCCACTTTTTTGGTCCTCCAAGGGTAATAGAAAAAAAACAGCCATCCCTGATAAAGTGTAAGCATATATATACATATTTGTGAGGGGAAAAAGACTTGTGAAGGCAGATATTTTACAAGTGATGCTACAAATACTTTCTCAGCCATTTTTGTTGTGTTATACCAGCAGAAAAAATAAATAAAGTACAACTTAGACTTAAGAAACCTTTTTTTTTTAATCTTGGCCTTCAGGGCTTCTGTCAAAATTGTTTTTGTAATAATAATAAAAATAGTACAGGCTAATTAATTTATTATTTTAGAATATTATAATATTATATGATTTAATAACAACTGTTTACTTAAAATAAAAAATGGCAAGTCAGTTATTTCTATTTTAATGTAATTTGTCTTTTGTCAGATATTTATGAAGTGAAATGAAGTGGAATTAGTAAGACAAAACTTGACTATCCAAAGACTATTTTTTTTTTATTTGACTTTGAAAATATATTATATATTATATTAGTCATAAAATAAAACTTTTACACACATACTTTACATTAAATGTTCTTTAATTTAATGGCCATAAATTGTGTCCTTCTCATGTGTTTGTTCATTAGTAAAGAACCATCATGCTTTATTCATTACAGATAATTACTGTATTTGTTCATTATATGTTCTATGTTAATTTTATGTTCTGTCAATTTTATCTTTTTTATCTTTTCTTTAAACTTCTAATGCAGCTTATCCTATTTATCTTTTCATTTTATCCTCTATTTAATTTACTTCATTTTTTCATCTTGTGTTTCTTATTTTTTAATTTTACTGTTTTATTGTAAACCCTTTGAGCTGCTGCATGTATGACAAGTGCTCAATAAATTAAGCAGCAGTAATAATGTGTAATAATATGGTAATATTATGGTAAAAATAATACCAGAGAAGCTATTCATTTTTGAGTTGTTACTAAACAGTAAGTTAGTAGTTTGAAGTGTTAAATAAAATGGAAGAAAATTTTCTAGTTGATAAAATTGTTTTAGAAACGATTGCAGTAAAAGTGAATAAAAATGAACACAAAACAAAAGTTATTGTTTTAAAAATATTTTACAATTTACATCACATTATTATGTATTTTCATTCACCTGAAATATCACCTCAGTTCTTTTACAGTCCCATAGGCTTTTATAATATTAGGATTTCTTTATTTCTTATCCATTATGTATTTAAATGATCAGGCATTGTTTCATACTATAATTACAGTGAAACTAAATTATATCAGAGCTGTAATATCAGTTCTTCAAAATAATGTCAGTAATTGCACTGAAATTATGACTGAATTACTGCATTATAATCACTCATGGTTGTTCTATTACTTTTACATGTAGCTCCACCTACAGATAAGATGAGGTAAATATACTAAGAATTTACAGAATCAGGGCTGTTCACATGTTTTGTGCTATGTTTTATGTTACCTGTTAGCAAAATACTTTTACTCTGTTATAAAACACAGATTCAGAATTCAGAACCATTGGCCAACTGTGCTTGCACACAGGAATTGGGTCTCTGCATTTTACTCATCCATGCGGTGAAGTCATGTCCTGTCGGCTCAGAGGATTGAACTGGTGAACTTCTGTTCAAAGGCTGATTCCTTAACCTCCAGCCCTTGACTTGCCCTGCTAATAAACTGCTCAGAAATGATCTCAAACCACATCAGATTTGTCTTTCCAAAACATTTTTATTGTTCATTATCTTATCTATTAATAACTTAAACTTTACCATATAACTTCAGGTTAGTTTAGGTTAATATCATAATATTACCTTTATTACAGATCTGTACAATTCTGAAGTTCTACTAAAATAGCTGTTTTATGACTGTAGTCACACTTTGTTGATGAAGTTTCTGCTGAACTGAGAGAGTGAAGAGTGTGTCATTGTTTTCTTTGCAGGTTGGTGTATTGTAATATCACAGACAAAAGCTTTGTTGCTCTGACTTCAGCTCTGAAATCCCAGGCCTCTTACCTGAGAGAGCTAAATATGTGTCTGAATAATCTAGGAGATTCAGGAGGAAAGCTGCTCTCTGCTGTACTGAAGAATCCTCTCTGTAAACTGGAGATGCTGTGGTAAGATCATTTCAATGAGAGTCACACATGACCTGGTCCTCAGTAAGATATGTTCCCTAAACATGAATGTTCCCTGATCTCTATTTGAGTCTGTAGGTTCAGAATCAAAATCCTGAGGATGTTTGTTTCAGTTCTGAGATTTTTCAGTCTCACATTTTGCTTTTTTGTTGTGTTTGTTTTCTATATTCATATTTTAAGTTTTTCAAGTTTTTCCTTGCTATATTGAAACTATAACAAATGTTATTATTCATAAAAAATTAAATACATTTTACAAAGGTTTGTTAATTTTTATTTGTTTTCAGAGAGTACCAGTTACTTATTGGAAGATTTTACTTTGGTTTTTACTTCCAAAATGTAGAACAATAAAACATCAGATTTGGTCTATTTACATTTGCCTCATATTTCATATTCAAATAATGATCTTGAGTGAGTTAAACCTTAGTTAACAATGACTCAAATATAATTGTGAAATTAATATTTTCTGGCTCTTACTGCTTAATACTTTCAGTTTTAATGTTAGTCCATTAAAAATTAAACATGTGCACTCATTGAATACTAAATGAGGACAGCAGTGACCTGTTGATCCTCACTATTTAAGGTTTCACATTTTAATGCAACATGGCCTGTTCATGTTTTCTTTTTATCTTCTCTATTATTTCACTTTATTTTAATTTATTTAATTTCAATTACCATTTTTATGTCTTGCTCTTTTTTAAGCATACTATTTTATTAAAGCACTTAAAGCTGCTACATGTATGAAAAGTGCTCTACAAGTAAAGCTGTGTTTATGACTGTACTCACACCTTGCTGATGATGAAATTGCTACTGAACTAATCTTTGTGTTCTGAACTGAGAGAGTGAAGAGTGTGTCATTGTTCTCTCTGCAGGTTGGGATTTTGTAATATAACAGATGAAGGCTGTGCTGCTCTGATTTCAGCTCTGAAATCACACCCCTCACACCTGACAGCACTGAATCTGACTAATAGTGAACTAGGAGATTCAGGAGTGAAGCTGCTCTCTGCTGTAATGGAGAATCCACTCTGTAAACTGGAGTCCCTGAAGTAAGATCATCTCTCTGAGAGTCACACGTGACCTGGTCCTCAGTAACATAGATTTTCCCAGTAAAGGATATTTCATATTTTCAGTAAGGTACCTTATTAATCTAGTAACTATGTGCAAACTTATCGTAAACAAATACAGAAATTGTGTTATGATGGCAACACCGATCAGACGCTCACAGATAAAAGGACAAGGCTGAAGTTTACTTGAGGTTTTGATGAAGGTACAGAGGAGGAGTAGTCAGAACAGGCAAGGGTCAGAACCAGAGAGCAAGAGAACCAAAACAAACAGGACATCCAGAGAGTAGCCATAAACCAGTCTGAGTTCAAAAACCAAAATCTCATACAATATCCAGCAAACAAACCAAAAAGGGCAATGACAAATAAGGCAGGTCAGAAATACAGAAAGCAGGTCAGACACAAAAGAACTTACACAAACAAAGAACATGCAGTACGCAACCAAAGGTGTTGGCAATACTTTGCAAAGTTCTGATTCATGGGAGTTGGAGTCCTCTGGGCCATTCAAGGACTCAAGTGATCTCAGGAAAAAGGAACAGGTGGAGAAGGTGTCCTCGGCAGAATGCGTGACAAATTGCCTGTATTCAGTCATATGTTATGCATCCTTATTAATAAATAAACATGAGAGGGAATTGTTTGTTATTGCAGTAGTTAACATCAAATAAAGAACATTTACAGAATGAATGGTTCACAGAAACAATGGTTTTATTCAAGCGCGCTCTGTCCGTTTCTGCTCATTTTCACCCAGTTTCAACAGAAGTTCAGACACACAGCTCTTTTACTTTGGCATCGACTCTCCCCTGGCCCGTGGTACCATCATAAAAGACCAAAGTCAGTGTTGTACAATTGGATCTTATCATAAAAGCAGCTGCCCTTCTGAGGGACTCAGATTGTAAATATGTGTCATAAACTAAGTATTCTGTCCCGGAAAGGCCAAATCCTCCTTACGAGGGTGTCATAAAAGCAATTTGTTCAAATTGTTCAAACCATGAGAACAGAACAAATTTGACTTATAAGAACCTTTTAGCATTAGTACCGCTTAACAATGAATAACAAATTAAAACAAATGCAAAATAACTTAAATTGTAATATTATATTAGCATTACCTGAGCTGCTTCTCTGCATCTTTTGTTAGGTAATCTGCTGCGGTCTGTAACGGGTGAAGTAAATGTACCTGATTAATCCACATTTGGCAGACATTAATCTGTTGTTGTAAACTGAAATACAAACCCAATTCCAAAAAAAGTTGGGATGCTGTATAAATTGTAAATATATTTAAATAAAAATAGAATGCAATGATTTGTAAAACCCATATTTTATTCACAATAGAACATACTAATATACATATACATATATAACATATGTACAAATAAAAAACAGCTGGATAAGTAATAACTCACATGACAGTATAAAAAGAGCATTTTAGAGAGGCAGAGTCTCTCAGAAACAAAAATGGGCAGAGATTCCCCAATCTACAAAAAACTGTGTCTAGAAATTGTGGAACAATTTCAGAAACATGTTCCTCAATGTAAAATTGTGAAGACTTTGGATATCCCACCATCTACCGTACATAACATCATCATAAGATTCAGAGAATCTGGAGAAATCCCTGTACACAAGGGACAAGGCTGACGGTCAATATTGGATGCTTGTTGGATGCTTTGGGCCCTCAGGTGTCACTGCCTTAAAAACAGACATGATTGTGTACTGGAAACCACTGCATGGGCTCAAGAACATTTCCAGAAATCACTGTCTGTGAACACAATTCACTGTGCAATCCACAAAGGCAAGTTAAGGCTGTATCATGCAAAGAAGAAGCCATATGTCAGATCCAGAAACACTGCCATCTTCTCTGGGCCTTGTATATTTCAGCAAGACAAGCTAAACCACATATTGCACCCAAAACACCAGCATGGCTTCACAGAAGAAGAGTCCAGGTGCTGAACTGGCCTCCTGTCCAGATCTTTCACCAATAGAAAACATTTGGTGGATCATGACATGAAAAATCTGGCAAAGAAGACTCAGGACTGTTGAGCAGCTAGAATCCTAAATCAGACAGGAATGGGACAACATTCCTCTCCCTAAACTCCAGCAACTGGTCTCCTCACTTCCCAGATGTTTTCAGACTGTTGTTAAAAGAAGAGGGGATGCTAGACAATGGTAGACACAGCCCTCTCCCAACTTTTTTGAGATGTGTTGCAGCCATCAAGGCCTAAATAGTTAATATTTAGTTAATATTTTTTCATGAAATGAAAGTCTGATATGTGTTCTGTGTTCTATTGTGCATAAAATATGGGTTAATAATTGTAGATGTTTTTAGAAATAACTGTTAAATGTTTTGTCACACCTGCTCATAGAGTTCACTGTTTTTTCTGTGTTTTTACTTCTATACTGTAGAACAAGAAAAATCATCAAATCTATCATAATTATATTTACCTCATATTTCAAATGCAAATCATGATTGTGGTGAGTTATAAATAGTTAACAATAGTTGGCCCTTAGTGCACAATAATTTAAATCTTAACATTAGGCTCTTAAAAATGAAACATAAACTTTAATCGAATACTAAATGAGGGCAGCAGTGACCTGTTTTTCTTCACTATATAAGTCTTCATAAGAGTTCCACAGTGGCCTCTGTCTTTTATTCTGTTTTTAAACTGGAACTCTCCACTCACCACATTATCACTGTTTTTTTACCATACTATTTTATCATAAAGTTCTTTGAGCTGCTACATGTATGAAAAGTGCTTTATAAGTAAAGCTGTGTTTTATGATTGTAGTCACACCTTGTTGATGAAGTTTCTGCTGAAGTGATCTGTGTGTTCTTAACTGAGAGAGTGAAGTGTGTCATTGTTCTCTCTGCAGGCTACAGCAGTGTAATATCACAGATGAAGGCTGTGCTGCTCTGACTTCAGCTCTGAAATCAAACCCCTCACACCTGAGAGAGCTGCATCTGTCTTTTAATAAGCTAGGAGATTCAGGAGTGAAGCTGCTCTCTGCTGTACTGGAGAATCCTCTCTGTATACTGGAGATTTTGTGGTAAGCTCAATAATAATAATAATGATAAGTGTAATGACATTATTATTATTACTTTTATTATTATTATTAAGAACAACTAGATCAGTAATATAAATGTAAATTGGGAAAAGCGTCTATTCCCACATATATTTTCCTGTTTTTTTCCTTTTTTGTGGCAACAGCAGTACATCTTTTCATGTGAAAATGCAAAACTTGGACCATAAAATATTCATATGAATTGTTGTTATTATTTTCATTGTTATTCGTAAGAGTATTAGTAGGTGTGCTTCTTGTTGTTGGTTTTGTAGGAATTATTTAAAACAAAGAACATGAACATAAAAATAAACTGTAAATGTATTCAGGACTCTTATTTTGATAGAAGTGTCATTCTCACTTGAATTTTTGACTATCAAAACTTTATTGTTCTGTGTGTACACTATGCTGTCCACTCTTCCACTCTTCTGGGAAGCTTTCTACAAGATTTTGGTCTGTGTCTGTGGGAATTTTTGCCAATTCATCCAGAAGAGCCCTTTTGAGGTCAGACACTGAAGTTGGACAAAAGCTTGCAATCAACATTCTAGTTCATCCCAAAGGTGTTCATTGGGATAGAGGTCAGGGCTCTGTGAGGGTCAGTCAAGCTCTTCCACACCAAACTCACCCAGCCATGACTTTATGGAGCTTGCTTTGTGCACTGGGGCTCAGTCATGCTGGAACAGAAAATGCTCTTCCTCAAACTGTTCCCACAAAGTTGGAAGTGTACAATTGTCTAAAATCTCTTGGTCTGCTGAAGCATTAAGAGTTCCTTTCAATGGAACTAAGGGTTCTAGGCCAACCCCTGAAAAACAACCCCATATCATTATTCCTTCTCCACAGTTGGCACAGTGCAGTTAGGCAGGTAATGTTCTCCTGGCATTTGCCAAACTCAGACATCAGACTGAGAGACAGAGAAATGTGATTATTCACTCCACAGAATACGTTTCCACTGCTCCAGACTCCAACTCTGCACCACTACATCTGACGCTTGGCATTGTGCTTGGTGATGTAAGGTTTGCATGCAGCTACTCAGCTATGGAAATCCTGCCATATAGCTCCTGGTGCAGATTTTGTGCTGATATTGATGCCAGAGGAGGTTTGAACTCTGCAGTTATTGATCAGCAGAGCATTGGTGACTTTTATGTTCTGTGCTCCTCAAGCCCTCGGAGACCCACTCTGGATCTTTACGTGGTCTGAATGAAACACCTGAATTCAGTGACTAAAAGGTGTGTCCCAATAATTCTGCCCATATAGTGTGTATATATATATATATGTATATATATATATATATATGTGTGTGTATATATATATATATATATATATATATATACATATACATATATATATATATATATATATATATATATATATATATATATATATATACACACGATATTGCCAAAAGTTTTCACTCGTCTGCCTTCACACGCATATGAAATTTTTGACCATTCTTCCAGAAGCGCATTTGTGAGGTCTTTCACTGATGTTGGATGAGAAGGTCTGGCTCACCGTCTCTGCTCTAATTCATCCCAAAGGTGTTCTATCGGGTTGAGGTCAGGACTCTGTGCAGGCCAGTCAAGTTCTTCCACACCAAACTCGCTCATCCATGTGTTTATGGATCTTGCTTTGTGCACTGGTGCGCAGTCATATTGGAACAGGAAGGGGCCGTCCCCAAACTGTTCCCACAAAGTTGGAAGCATGAAATTGTCCAAAATCTCTTGGTCTGGTGAAGCATTAAGAGTTCCTTTCACTGGAACTAAGGGGCCGAGCCCAACTCCTGATAAACAACCCCACACCATCCCCCCTCCACCAAATTTTACACTTGGCACAATTCAGTCAGACATGTACCATTCTCCTGGCAACCGCCAAACCCAGACTTGTCCATCGGATTGCCAGACAGAGAAGTGTGATTCTTCACACCAGAGAACACGTCTCCACTGCTCTTGAGTCCAGCGGTGGCTTGTTGCACAGGTGGCGTCCTATCATGGTACCACACTGGAATTCACTGAGCTCCTGAGAGCGACCCATTGTTTCACAAATGCTTGCAGAAGCAGTCTGCATGCCTAGGTGTTTGGTTTTATAGACCTGTGGCCATGGAAGTGATTAGAACACCAGAATTCAATGATTTGGATGGGTAAGTGAAAAAAAAATTGTACACACAACTCTCATCCGGAGTTATGAGCCAATGAACTCTCTGAGTAATTGGTGAATTCATTTATGAGAAATGGACCAGTGGACACTAAGGTGAGAGTTTAGACTTGTATATATACTCCCTTGTGTTGCCAGCTATTTAGACATTAATGGCTGTTTGTTGAGTTATTTTTAGAGGACAGTAAATCTATACTGCTATACAAGCTTTACACAAACTACTTTGTTTATTTTATATATATATATATATATATATATATATATATATATATATATATATATATATATATATATATATAGAACATGGAGAAAGAAAGAGCTGTTTATTGTGTCAGACAGATGTGAAACAGTGATGAGATCTAGGCTGCTAGTTTGTGAAACGTTTGTGTTTTTGTGTATTACAGGTTTGTATTATATACACACACACACATTTTCTAAACCACATATCTTTCTGGGTCATGGGTGGACGCTGCAGCCTATGGCAGGATACACCCTGGACAGGTTGCCAGTCCATCGCAGTTTTGTATACTTAGGGTTTGGCGTAAAGTCTTTACTGAGTAGTTAAAATGCAAAGCTGTAGGTCATGTCTTAACTAATAATAACTAACTAATGTGTGTCACTTTAACATGACAACAACATGTTCAGAACCAAGTAGTAAACCCACTGCCATGGAATTGTGACAGCAGCTTGCGCTGACTTTTTAAAAGGAAAAAATATCCAGCATAGAAGAGAACAATGTGTACAAGGTAAACTGAATAAAACTATAAAAAATCTATAAAACTATAAAAAAACTGCTATTGTGTCGGTTTCTGGATGACCAACACAACAGCAGCCTCAGTTTAGCTGTTTGTGCATCTGCTGTGTGTTTTTAACTTCATGCTTGGAGTTAAAACCAGGGCAATGATTAGAGCTGTAAGTAAAATCACAGTGTATTGCATTTAGAATTTTTAGCTTAGTTAACCAAAAAATTCAGGTTTTTTGGTCATTTAGGTGCTCTCTACATGATTTCTGATGGTTTACCCAAAACTTACACCTGTGCACTTGTAAATATTTAGTGATTACTAAGCTCAATGTTAAAACTAGTTTGTGTTGTGCAACTCATCCTAATTTATTAATGCGTAAACCTGAACTTGGTAAACACTTACGTTACAACTAGCCTACCTCTGAATTTATGCACTGCTGGTGCAACCACCCAATGCTGAGTATTCAGTGATTTTTCTTTTTCCGGTTGATGATTCTTCTGTCTTGAGTATGAAAAGATATTTTTCTGTTAAGCTTAGTAACTATATTAATATACCTTATATATTATATAAGTTAATTTGTCTGTTCATTCTGTAAATGTATTTAATCTAATATTAACCACTGGGGCAATAACCAAATTCTTCTCATGTTTGTTCATTAGCAACAAAGAATGACTCATTATTCATTACAGATAATTACTGTATTAGTTCATGATTTGTTTGTTCATACTTATGAGGTTACTAAGGAATCATAACTAAGTGTTGCCATGTTCTCTGATCTCTATTGGAGTCTGTAGGTTAAGAATCAATATGCTGAGGATGTTTGTTTCAGTTCTTCAGAGAATTTTCATTCTCTCATCATGCTGTTTGTTATATATTTGAATTTCCTGATTGAATGCTAAATGTGGACAGCAGTGACCTGTTTTTCCTCATTAGGCAATTAGTGCAGTTGTGTTTTAAACAGGGCGGCAGTGCAGTGGCAGATTCTCAACACAGTGATGCCTGAGTAGCACTACAGTATGTCGAGTGTCGAGATAAAGAAATGACAAAGATCATTAACTCATGGACTCGAGAGACTAAAATCAGACTCACACATTGTTCTCTCTGCAGGTTGATGTTTTGTAATATCACAGATGAAGGCTGTGCTGCTCTGGCATCAGCTCTGAAATCAAACCCCTCACACCTGAGAGATCTGAACCTGTGTTTTAATGACCAGATAAAGAAAGGACTTGAGCTGCTGTTAACTCTGCAGCGTGATAAACATTACAGACTACAAGATCTAAGGTGAGGAACAAGAATTTCAGATAAATGTGTACACACACTGAAATGTCATTAGTGATTCACAGTGTAAAGTCTGTGATTGAGCCACTTGTAGGAAACTGGTTCTACATCTTTTAAATGAGTAACTTGGTTATTATACTGACTAGTTCTGTATTGAAAATACTGTTTTTATTTTCTGTACTGAAAGTTATTTTTTGGTTCTTTCTGTTTTTCAGATGTGGTGTTTATAATGTGTATTATTGATCACCAAAGAGACGACATCATGAAGAGATGAAGTGATTTCTGAATGTGTGTGAGGAGCTCCAGCAGCAGAGGGAGACACAGTGTGTGTAAATACAGTATGAGTGTGTGGACTAGACGGACTCAGGTAACAGATGGACCATGTGATACTTTGTCCAGTGAAGAAAACAGACTGTAAACTAGTCACAGGTCATGATGTTTTGTATGTAGAAACCAGAAGAAATGTTTTTTTAATCTGTGTTTGCACCAGTCGAGATCAAAGCTTCCTTTATTTATGTTTTTGTTTTTCTTCTATTTCCATGAAAGCACAGTTATATGAAGTGAAGCTCATTTTAAATCAGAAGCAGTGACCGCGCTGCATGCAGTGTGGCTCCTGTGTTAATCAGAGTGACCCTTTAAACTGATCATCTGAGTCTGTTTTGGCTGTTTGTCTCTAGAAGTGTGAACAAAATACACTCCCACAACATTTAACTCATGGGCAAGTGCTGTTTTAGTGCTGCTTGATATTTTATATTCAGTGATGATCATCATACAGTAAGTTCACCAGATTATTTCTTTTTAAAAGTTTGAAGTTTTTGACAAGTTTTGAATGTTTGTTTTATTTTCCTTTGAATTTATTTTTATTCGATTGTGCTGAGAGTCTAATTTAATCTGGTTGCTTGTATTGGAACAGTGTTTGATGTGGTTTTTAGATGTAAAGTCAGGTTTGCATTTCTTAATCTTCCGTTTCTGATGGGAAAGATGAAGACAGATGTGTGGAGAACTGGAGATGGACTGACTGTTATCAGTTCTGAGCTCATACAGGGAGAACATGAGCATCAGTGTCTCTTGTACTCTGAAGATCTCTGCTGTTCCTCTCTGAGCTCTAATAAAGCTCATCTGATTATTAGTCTATCACTGCTGCTGAGTCTCTCCATTACACACAAACACCTCTCTCTGATTTAGTTTTGGAAATGAGGAAACTGTGTGTGTGTGTTTGTTTTGAATAATGACACAAATTAAAGATGTAATTTTGCAAAAAATCAACTTTCCACTTGTCCCACACGTAGTCAATCAGCTTAGACATGTTTGTTTTTCAAATTGTGCTTCTTTAATGTGATGTTTTTGTGACATCAACAAAATGGGCTGTTTAGTTTTGCACCTTTGCTTCCATCCAGTTTTATATGGACTGTATGGTCTAGAACAGGGGTCTTTAATTAAAATTCAATACGGTCCAGTTAAAGAAAATTTTCTCAAGTAAAGGTCCAGAACATCATAATGTCTAACTTGCATTATGACTCAGTGCCATATACTGTTTACTGAAGTAGCCTAGTAGGTATATCAACATCTTATACAGTCAACAACTGAATGTCAAATCAAATAAAGTACAATTCAGTAACATTTCAACAATATTTATTGTCAGTTTTCTCTTTTTAGAGAACGTCATGAGAAATAACTTCCCTCTGACTCACTTTCTTCTCCGACTGTTGTGTCTCGCCTCGTCCCTCCACTGTATGTGCGTCACTCACTCGAGTCACAGTGCTCGTCGTAATGCACAGATCTGATTGGCTGAGTAGCATCATGTGTGATATTTAAAATGCATGCGATTGGTCTGTGAGTCTCCCGGGCCGCTAAAGCTACCGTAACGACTAGAAATGGAAATAATTCTCCATAGTTTATCGGTTATAAGTCCAGGTCCGCATAGGACGGCGTCTGGGTCCGGACTCGGACCGCGGTCCGTCTATTGGTGACCTCTGGTCTAGGGAGTGAACGCAGTACTGAGTATGTTTTGAAACTTTGACAATGCTTATTTTTTATACCAACTTCTTTAATTTAAAAAAACGGGTCCCTTCAATGAAAGCTTAAATGAATATGGATATGATAAGATGTCTAGTTCAGGTATTACAGAGTCAGAAGGGCATTTTTACCACTCAGTATTAGCTTTCCATCCTCAAATCACTGAGGACTGGCTTTGTAAATGGGTTCTCATGTTGAGTTTCCATGCCACCACCAGGGGGCAGTAACATGCAGTACCGAAGGACAGTTCTTTGCAAAGAACTCACAAGCAGTAATACAGAAAACATTGAGTCTCCCAAAAGTCACACAATAAAGCTAAAAATTACAGCTGATAATTAGTTGGTCTTAGTTGAGCTTGACTTGAGTTGTTTGGTGAAAACTTTGTTGCCCTATAATTTTAAGCTGGCTTGACTGTTTTCTTTCAAGTATCTGTATAACTCACTGTATGAGAGCCATAACAGAGTGAGTCAGCGGTTTGTTGTGAAATGGTTCAAATGTCTTCACAGTGGTGGTGATAGGAACCAGGGGTCGCCATGACTACAACACACATATAGACATTTTATTTACTATCAAAAACCACCAGTGAACCTACACGAGTCTTCTGAGTTTATATGGGATGTTTTATATGGGATCTTAAAACAGTGACTCAGTCATCAGACAGTGGATTCATAACCATTTCCTGTAGTAACTTTCTGTGAGGGAGCTTTTAGAGGTGGACGTCTGGTTCCTATCACCACCACTGTGAACAGTTCTGACTCTAGAACAGAGCATTTTACACCAAACCACTCTGAATGACTCTGTTTGAATGTAGATCAGTGGTTCTCAGTCCTGGTCCTGGAGAACTGCAGTTTTCACTGTTCTTCTGCTCTAATATATTCCCTTCAGAAAAGGCATCTTAATGAGCTGATAAGATCAGAGTGAGAACCACTGATGTAGGTGGAGGTTTGCCGAAATGTGCTCTAGAGCTGTCCAAGGTGCTGAACCTAGTTTCATTTCCAGAGATTTCCTCATTTTTCTTCATCCTTTGTTCTAAATGTACCACTGGATCTGTGTATATGTTGGTATCAAGTATGTTGTTCTCTCATTCACAGTGTTCTAGAATGTTCTACTACATTTACACTGTTACACAATGTTGTCCTTTTTTCATGCCATTCTAGAATGGCCTATGATTCATGCTGTTCTAGAATGTTCTTCCCTCACATTGATCTAGAATGCTGTCCTCTCACTCACACTGTTCTAGAATGTTCTTCCCTCACATTGATCTAGAATGCTGTCCTCTCATTTACACTGTTCAAGAATGCTCTTCCTTCACTCTACTCTAGAATGTTGCCCTCTCACTCATACTATTCTAGAGTGCTCACACTAGAACTGTTCCAGAATGGTCTTCTATAGTTTCTATATTCCAGAATGATCTCTCTCTCTCTTTCACACCATTCTAGAAAGTTCTCCCTCACACTGATCTAGAATATTATCCTACGATTCATTGTTCTTGAATGTCATACTTTCTAGAATGTTCTCCTCTGTTCATGCTCCTCACTCTATTCTAAAATGTTCTCTACTACTCTCGGTGTATTGGAATGTCCTCCATCCATTCACACTGCTGTAGAATGTTCTCTCACACAATTGTTCTAGAATGGTCTTCTATAATTGCTATATTCCAGAGTGTTCTTTCCCTTTCATACTATTCTAGAATGGTCTCTTATTCACACTGTTCTAGGATCACATTCCTTCACATTGATATAGAATGCTGTCCTCTCATCCACATTGTTCTAGAATGTTCTCTCACACTAGAACTGTTCTAGAATGGTCTTCTATAGTTGCTATATTCCAGAATATTCTCTCTCTTTTGTGCCATTCTAGAATGGCCTCTTATTCCCACTGTTCTCTAATGTTCTCTGCAATTCACAATGCACTAGACTTTTCTCCACCCATGTACACTGTTCTTGAATGTTCTACTCATTATGTACTAGAATGTACTCCTTCCATTCACATTGTTCTAGAATGTTCTCTCCAACCCACAACGCAAAAATTACAGCTTTCTCCACTCATTTACATTATTCTTGAATGTTCTCCTTACAATGTACTAGAATGTTCTCCACCCATTCACACACGTTCTCTTCATTGTTTATTCTTATGAGAGAAGCTGGCATTGTGTCTCTGCCCCCACATTTTTTGGTGGTACAGCTCCATTTTGTCTGAATCTGTAAGCTTAAAGAGAACGTACACAAATACGAATGAAATTAATGCATGGACAGAGATACAGACAGAAGCTTCTGCCCATATTCGTATTCATATCTAACAATGAGCATAAATGAGCCTTATAGAGGCTCTCAGAGAAATGAGCTTTATCACAGCATTGCTAATCAGATAAACAGAGATCACTTATAAAGTGCAGGTTTCTTCATTAATGCTGCTCTATTATACACAGCTGGTGCATGAAATGTAAATAAGGTAATGAAATGAGTGAATTACAACCCTCTAAAACTGCTACTCTGAATCTACAAAACAACTTAACAAGAAATGTAATACTGTTTATGAAGTAAGTAGTAATAAATCAGTGCTAAACATATTGCCTTGTTAAAGTCTATTTTCCAACAACTGACTGAAACCACTGCTCATATTTACAGTCAGTGATGTATCTAGAACTTCCAGAAGATCTAGAGCAGGGGCACCAAGAGTTCCCTCTGGGCCAGAGCTCTGCAGACCTCAACATTCCTCCTCATTAAACACACTTGATTCAGAGCATTAGAAGAGAGAAAACACTAATCTCTGCAGAACTGTGGCCCGCGAGGAACCCAGTTTGACACCCCTGGCTTAGAGTGACATGCTGTCCTCATGAAACTTGTTCCACTCATTGTAAATGAAAACATAATTATGTTGGGAGTAAATCTAACATGTAAGGCCTTCAGTCCAGCTCCTAAAGTCCTAACCAATGGGAGAGCTCGCTTGGCCATATCTGCATGGATACCACTGAAAAAATAATCCTGATTAGACAGTGAAATATTGCTAAATATTATACTTCAAGAAAAAATATCTTAACAAGATATATTAACCTTAAATCCAGTCTAAATATGTAATATTTTATGTTGAGATGGTTGTGTGAATATTATAAGATTATTCAACTGATTTCTAGATGTTTTTTACTTGTTTAAATTAATTTTATTGAGAAAAATCTCGCTATATTGGCAAATGATTATGCCTGTTTTAAACATATTTCCAAACAGGAAAATGATCTGACTACGTTTTAGACAGTTTCACTTGCCAAGATAACATTTTTGCACTGTAAATATAACTAGCATGATGATTCTGTTGAATAGAAAAAGATATAAGAATTACAGACTTTTTTTTGTCTCTAGAAATGATTAGCCATTCTCTGAAGGCCTATATGGCTTTGAGGGTTCCTCACTAACAATATGAGCATTTAGATATTTACTAAAAGTATTCTGCTTTTCTAACAGTTCAGTTAAAACTCCTGTTTGTAGAGATGCAGTGTTATCAGCATTATCCAAACAGGAGTATGTTCTTAGTTGTTGTGATGTAACACCGATTTGTCAAATAAAGCCATCATCAGAATATGTGTGTTTGTCAGAGAGAGCGTTTGAGATCTGAAGAAAAATGAAGAACGACGCCTTCTGTCTCTCGCGCGCTAGAGCTGTGATGGACAGCAAACTGAAATCAGATCATAGCACTCGCTGATTGCTTGAGCGTTTCACACCAGCATTTAAATTATTGATTATTTGCTGATTCCTCAGAGACTTTGGGGAAGCACTGAGCTGACAGCTTTCATTTTGGGATCCTGTGTGATGTTCAGTCTATTGTGAAAACACACACCGCGCTGCAGAGGTGATGCACACATCAGTCACCGAGCAGCTGTTTTTTTTTTTTGTTTATTACAAACAATGTTAAGATGTTATTATGACATATTACTGATATATGATATATTTACAAGCATATCAAGGCTTTGTAATAAACCCAGAGAATAAACAGGACTGACTTAGTAAAGTGCTTTTTACCAAAACTCTGTTTCATATTTTAAAAAGAATAATACAATAATTTTGTTTTGGTTCTTGAGTTAAATCACAAAGGTACTGACATATCGCTGCTGTCGGAAGAAAACC